CATGGCGGAGCGGCCATGAAAAGGGACAGTACGGAGTGGAGGTCTGGTTTCGCCGCACGTGGCAAGGACACCACCTTCAGCTGCAAGACTGGAGGATTTTGTCAGCCTCACCGCGCTGGCTGCTGGTTCGCTGTCTCAGACCAGATGTTCCGCTGGCCATTCTCTCAGCACACGCACCACATGCGGAGCGGCCCGAACAGGAAATCCATCAATTTTGGGCAGCGATTCGGCACGCACTGCACCCGCTGCCACCGCATACCATCCTGATCATGGGTATTGATGCCAATGCGGACTTCACTGCGCCAGACGCAGAGCATCGGCTCATAGGGGATCTTACTGACAGCAGGCCACCTAGAGAGGGTGATCTAGAGCTGCTGTCATTTGTGCAAGACCACCACTTGGAGGCGCCTGCTACATGGAGTTCCCTTCACCAGGGACCCACCTGGACGTGGCAGCATTCCTCTGGGAAACAGCGCAGGCATGATCACATTCTGGTTGCCGCTGGCCACATCACAGTGGACGAGTCCAAGTGCCTCCCCGAGTTTGACATCGTCAACAGCACTCTGGACCACGTTCCAGTTGCCTGTACTGCGCGCGTAAGGGGTTGTCAACAGTTTACTAAGACCCCGGTTTCCCTGGCACCACCTGAGGCGACCGCCACGCACATTGCCCCAGAGGTTTGGGCAGGCTTCAAGTACCCGGGCGGTCCACATAGGGCCACCCTAGCCCTCACCTCCCGCTATCACCGCCTGGCCAGCCGGCATCGGCAAGCCAGTGGCATCATCCCACGGCAACCGTACATCTCTGACGAGGCGGTTCAGGTCCTCACAGCGCTGAAAGCCGATCGCAAGATCCTTCGTCAACAGGCTCGGACCTGCACCCTCAATCAGCTTCATTTGGCCTTCAAGGCCTGGGCGGCCCGCTCTGCCCCTATTGAGCACATCCGCGTCGGCATCCGGATCGGACACCGGGCCTATGCCAGGACGTGGCTCCGAGTCCTTCGGGCGCGCGAGCATGCTCACTTCTTGGCGAGAAGGGACAAGGCAGAGCACTTCCGCAAACTTACTGCCACGGCGACCGAGTTTTGGCTCGATACAGGCCGTGCGATGGAAGCCACTCATCGGCTCAAATGGGCCTCTAGGAAGGCCGCAGAGCGGCGCAAGGTTTTTGCGGCAGGAGGCCACGATATTGATGCAGACCTGCTACTCCAATTCCAGCGCCAGGAGGCCGGCAGTCGAGTCACGAAACTCGCCGCCTTCAGGGCCTCCGAGTCCCGCCCACGCGCGCCATGCCCTGCTGCTCTGCCTTCCCTCCTTCAGGTTGAACATCAATGCCGACGCCAAAAGCTCCACAAAGCACCCGGACCGGACGGGTTGCGAAACGGGCTTTGGCGCACGCAGCCTGTGGAGGCAGCCCAGTGGCTTTGGAGCCTCTGCGCGGACATTGCTGGTCAGGGCCGGGAGCCGCTCCATTTTAAAGCTGCTATTGTATGTGCCTTGCACAAAAAGGGACCTGCCAGCGTCCCAGCCAACTACCGATCTATCGCGCTTCTCAACGGCATTGCCAAGGTCTGGCATGGACAGGTCCGGGATTCCTTAGGTCAGGAAGTACTTGCTGCCTATCACCCTCTCCAGCTGGGAGGGCGTCGAGGAGTACACACAGGCTTCGCGGTGTCTGTGTTCAGGTCTCTGACGGCCCTCAGCGACTACGCTAACCGCTCTTGGTTCGCTCTGTTCTTGGATGTCCAAGCGGCGTATTATGAAGCTGATCGGGACCTCCTCTTCGGCTGTCACGCTGCGGATGACCGACAACTCCGCGCGACCTCCCTCGCATCCGGTCTCCTTCGAGATGGGGTCCTACGAAGACGGGGCATGGCGGAGGAAGCGGTGTGTCTGCTCGAAGATTGCGTACGGTGCTCGCACTGGACTCTCGCGGGGCACGATGCCATCATCCTGGCTGGACGTGGCAGCAGGCCAGGCGACGGACTGGCAGATGTCCTTTTCGGAGCGATATTCGCTCAGATCCTCGACGATGTTGAACAGCAGCTTGCTGCACAAGGCATCGGGCACCACTCGGCGGTCGAAGCAGTTGGGGGTAGTTGCCGCCCATTCCAGGTCGCTTGGGCAGACGACCTCTCGGTGCTTACTGATGCCGACTCGGCTGAGGAGCTCGAAGCCACTGTCCCTGTTGTCACACGCACCATCGTCGACACTGCTGAATCCTATCGTCTTCGTGTCAACTTGGGTGCCGGCAAGTCGGAAGGGCTGCTGCTCCTGCGAGGTCCAGGGGCACGCGAAGCGCGAGGCAGGCTTTTCTTGCCCCAGTCGCAGGTGACGTTTGCACCGGGGCGGACCCTGCGCATCGTGGCTGAGTATAAATACTTGGGGGTGCCACAGACAGCGCCGGACAATGGCAGGAGAGATGCTGAAGCCTCCGTTCAACGGGGGCAAGCTGCTTGGGCCCAGGCCCACGGACTTATGCGTTCCCCGACCTTGCCTTTTGCCGTTAAACTTGCGTGGTTCACCGGCCGGGTGCTGCCCGCTGCCTACTCCAGCCTTTCGACTGCCCTCGTGACCTCAGGGCGGGTTTGGTCGATCTATCAGGGCTTTTTCGACCGCTGCCAACGGGCCCTGGTCTCCTCGTGGCAGGTCTCCCATCATCTTACCCGCGAAGCCTTGGACATTTTGGTCCAAGCGACGACACCTGCTGTTGCTGTGGTAGTTGCCAGAGCACGCCTAACTGTGCAGATTGCCACCTCAGCACCCCCGGCCGTCCTTGACTTGGTCGAAGCCTGTTGTGAACGGGATCTCCCATGGACTAACCTCCTGCGAGACTCTCTCACCCAAGTGGGTCGGTTGTCGGGTCTTACTGAAGCCCAGCTCCAGGACAGCCCCATGCGTGTTGCGCGTGCTCACTGCCGGCTCCTTCGGGGAGCTTGCAAACGCATGGGCCGTTACGGCTCTTGCCTGATGGCCTTCCAGAGGGTCTGGCGGACCAGGGCCACCCACACTTCCACCGGCACCATCGGTACCCCACAGCCTGTCTCCTGCCCTGAATGCGGTTGGACCGGACGGTCACAACAGGCGCTTGCGGCCCATCGCCACCGCAAGCATGGGATCCTGGCCCGGGCCACGGCCCTTTGTGATGGTACGACTTGCAGTTGGTGCTTGCGAGACTTCCATTCGTCGGACCGCCTCAAGTACCACATCTCCACTACCCCTGCCTGCCGCTTGTCCTTGGAGATTTCTGTCGGACCGCATCACACCTACGGCTCTGGGTCCAAGCGTCGGGGCCCACAACAACATCGACGGCTACCGCCCTTGCGCATCAGTGGCCCCATCAACGCCACGCCTGCAGAGCGCGAGGCAGCCACAAACGGCCAACCATGGGCACCAGATGCCCTGAAACAGGAGTGGGACCAGTTACTCAGCCAGTCGCTTGGTGAGGGGCTCGCCGGCCCACCGAGTGATCAAGTCTGCCCTCAACCGACAATGCCTGCTCCAGTCGCCGCTCCCTCGGCCACCCCTGCCCCTGTCCTTCTGGCCTTCACTTTGGCTGTGGATTCGAGCCTGCCCTCGCCATGGTGGCCAGGTTTGTACCGGCAGCCTGCTTGCTGGCGGTTTCCGCCAGTGTGGAATCAACTGGCTGCCTTCTGGCATATCCTCGCCACCTCTGAGTGGGCTGGGCCACGTCTGCTCTCTCAATTCCGAGCTGCAACTCGGCTGCTCGACAACGGCGCCGATGTTCCGGCATTCTGCCCGTCTACGGGCAGCCCTTTTGCCTCCGGCTCCGAGCTTCTGCTCCGTCACACCTTGTCCCTCCTTCATCTGGGCAAGTTTGTCGGCCTGGGCCACTGCTTGTGCTCTGAGCAGCCACCTGGGCTGCAGCTTCGTTCTGTGCTTCTGCACCTTTGCCCGAATGCTGCTTGGCTGCTCCTGGCCTCTCAGCAGCGGCCGGCGTGGATTTTCGCCCCCCTTGGTTCTTCTGTGTCGAGGCTGGATTTTGCTCTGCACTCTCCTTCCGTCAGGTTGGCGCTTGCAGCGCCGCACCAGCTTTCCGCGTCGTCCTGAGGGACGCGGTACGTTTCTGATGAACGTTCCGCGTCTTCCTCGCTAGTGTTTCTAGTTTTTGTGTTTCAAGTTTGAATTGGCTGTAGCTTGCTACTTTTGGCCTGCATGGACCGCGCCGGACCGTCCGCATGCGAGAGAGAGAGAGTTTAGGGATTCGATTTTGGGGCTTGGGGGTTTCAGAGTTTTGAGGTTTTAGGGATGCGGGTAGAGGGCTTAGGGGTTTTCAGGGTTCAGAGTTTTTAGGCTAGGGATTCGGGTTTAGGCTTTAGGCGGGAAGCCCTAAACCATCCTAAAACCTGAGCCCTAAACTCCAAGGCTAATAGTAGGCCCTCGGGCTATGCGGGTACATTTTACCAGAAATCTAAGAAGACAGGTACGGTGGTAGAGTTCCACCAAAGTTGCGCAGGGGTGGCTGGTTAAGGGTTTAAGGCATGCAAGCTCGATCTGGCTTCCCCTAAATCCTAAACCCCAAAACTCTAAGCCAAGAACCAAGGATTTTGGGCGCAAGACCCATGACAAGTCACAATCGGGCCCTTCGGCAATTTGAGCCTGAGGGTTTGGGCTTAGCGTTTAGTGTGTAAGGAGAGGTTCGGACCTGAGGCGGCCCGTTTTAGCTAATTCAAGCTCACGGGGTGCATACGCTACCATTATGCAATTTAGCCCAGCCCGAATAGACCATCCTGATAATGGTTTGGGGGGGCCTGATTCCATGATACTACTGTGTGTATATACTTGTATACATACGTATACGTATAGGTACATAGACTCTATAAAGGGAACTCCAGAAAGTTGGAATATGGAATAATGGCAGGATACCCTATATTTTACCTTATAAAGGGATTAGGATAATGATATTCCAACTTTCCGGCTTCTACTGTAGACCCTGACCCTGCACCCTCAACCCTAGACCCCAAATGCTGAGTCACCGGCTTTCTTCATGCGCAACTCGAGGCTCTCAAACATTGCCAGGCGCAAGCTGCGCTCCTACGGACGCACATGTCGCAGGATTTGAGATGGGTTTTGGATGATGTTCGGAGGGTGTTATGAGGGGTCTGTAAGATGGTTGGAGTTTTTTAAAGGTTTTGATGCCATTTTGGGATGTATGAAGGACTTGAGGGATTGAAATGAACTCTCCAATGTAGTATTTGTTGTATCAGTTAACCGAAACCGAATCTTTCATGACCTGATGTTGCAGGAAATATTGGCTGTGGGGCTGTAGGGAATTTGGAGATTCAAGCCCCCCTTGATTGATGCCTCAAGACACCAAAACTTACACAAAGAAATGTCCCTTTTCATATTGTTGGGTCTTTATTCGGGCTCCTCATAGGGATGCTAACGTTTTGAGGTTAAAGGACCGAAAACCCTTAACCCTGGACCCCAACCCCAAAACCTCAAACCTACGCTTGAATGCACGTTCCGTAACTGGGGGGGGGGGCTTTTTGGACTCTGCTTGGGCCTGGGGATGTTATTTGGTCTTGGGGGGTGCAGGGTCTAGGTCCATATTCAGACAAGCAGAGGACTCAGCGTTCAGGTAACCCACTCTCCCCTTGGCCCTTGACCCAACCTGAAAGAGGCCCAGAGTCCTGTGTCGTACGGTGTCCAAGATCGACAAACATCTTTGGTTACAGAAACCCTCATCCCTAAACCCTAACCTTAAACCCTAACCCTAAACCCTAAACCCAAATTAACCAGAAAGAAAAATTCGACATTCACTACCTACAGTCTCTATTGTAGTTCCTTTTTTGGTTACCCAGTTTTACGGTTAGGATCCTAGTTGGTTAACCCAAGACAAGGAACTACAATGAAGACTACAGGTAGAAACATGAGTTCGGACATCATGCCTTTTGTATAAGAAGTTCCCTCTAACAAGTTCATCAAACTGGAAGCAGGCTGTTGGCCTCGTTGAGCTTCGCCTCCTGAATATCAAAACACGCTAAGGAGCATGTAAGCTGTTCGTGGAGGGCATTTTCGGATTCTCCTAAAGGAGTCATAGAGGGCAAGGCTTGTTCGCAAAGAGGCCTTTCGGATGATATTTGTGGCTTTTCGCGATCTCTACCCAGAGGGAACCAGGATATCAACTGAACACAAAATGGCTGATAGGGCTTTGGGTTGCAGCTGAGAGTTGTTGGTTTAGGGTTCAGGCGGCGCAGCAGGATAAAACCGGCACAGGCAGCATAATCTAAAAACTGCAATGCAACAAAACACACAATCATACAACAATAGCAGAGAATGCCAAGAAGGTGCCAAGAAAGATTTGTAGAGCAAGGTGAGGGTGAGTGTCCTCAATGGTGTCACGTCTTTCGCGAATACTGATAATGAACATATGCTTTCGTTCGTCCTGCCTCTTTGGTCTTGGAGCCGTGGGATTTTTTCTAGGAAGAACCCCGATTCCACACCGACAAACTTCCGGGTGGTAACAGCTGTACATCGCGTTTTGCTATGTAGGGTTTCCAATGTTTAGTATGTCGGGTGTAAGATGGTCTGAAGCTTTCCAAGTCTAGAGTAGCCGAAACACATTGGGTCAACACACATTACCTGATACTGGAGCGGGGAGACATGTGGTCGCTCGCTCTCTCTCTCTCTCTCTCTGTGTCTCTCTTTCTCTTTCTCTCTATCTCTCTCTCTCTGCCTCTCTCTTTCTCTCAATCTCTCTCTCTCTCTCTCTGGCTCTCCTGTCTCTCGCTCTCTCGCTCTCTCTCTCTCTCTCTCTCTGTCTCTCTCGCTCTCTCGCTCTCTCGCTCTCTCTCTCTCTCTCTCTCTCTCTCTCTCTCTCTCTCTCTCTCTCTCTCTCTCGCTCTCTCGCTAGTTGTATGCATACATATATGTATACACACATTCACACATACACATACATGCATACACATACATATAACTATACAAGAACAATCTATACAGATTGTAAATTTATGCAAAGCAAACAGACCTGCCTCGTCTAAAGGATCATTTACTAACATCTGCTTCGAAGTACTGTGCTTCCTCCAGCAGCACTCTAAGCGTCGAATGAATGCATCAAGCCACGAAGGGACCTGTTGGGGCCTAAACCCGAGGACTTCAAGTCCTTTTATCGTGGAACATGTAAGAGGTTATATAGCCTTATACAAGGATGCTCGACATGATTTCACATACAACAAAGGAATACAACCGGCTACTAATTATACTTTTAAAGCGATCCTTAATGCGATTTGCAAGGACTTGCACTTCAGTCCTTACCCTAAGGCCCCAAAGTAGTTCCTTTTTGGGATTCATATTTAGAATCCTTTAAGGTAATCCCAAAAGGAACTACTTTGGGGCCTATGGGTAAGTAACCCTAAGGGTCCATGTACCCATATAGCATATACTTTGGGCCCAATGTACCTATATAGGGAGTACTTTAAGGCCAATGTATGTACTATATGAGTACATGGACCCTTAGGGTTTGGGAATCTACCTATATAGGGACCCCTTTAAGCCTTAAGTATCTACAAAAAAGGCACAGCGAGCCTTTGGGCCCAAGCCGGGGCCCCAGGCATTCTCGCGGAAGGCGCGCTCGCACTCCACCAGCGCACGCCGCGACTCCACCTTCAGATCCTGCGAAGGAAAGGGGGAAAAGGAGGGACCCTTAAAGGGTCCCTTTAAAGGGATCTATAGGGCTATAGGGATTCTATAAGGGTATAGGGTTTAGGGGTTTGGGTGTTTAGGGAGTTTAGGGGAAAAGGAGGGACCCGTAATGGGGACCCCTACCCTATAATGGGCTATATAATGGGTATATGATAGCTGTATTAAGGGTATATTCCTAGGGGTCCTTATTAAGGGTCCCTCCTTTTACCCTTGGCGCGAAGGAAAGCTGCAAGTGGTCGAAGACTTCGGGTGCTTCAAGCAAGATTCGAATTGCACCTGTGATATATGGACCCACCTTCACTGATAAGAGTCCCCAATATTATCTTGTTACTATTGTTTTCCTATAATGCACGGGTCTACACTAGGAATGGCTGCTACAAGAAAATAACTATACCAGCCATAGCGAAAATCGCCGCAGCGGTACTGAGTAATCAACTGTGCGCATGTGCAGCCGCGTAGCCGCACATGCATGACCTACATACATACAGTTATGTACACGAGTTACATACATACACACCTGGCCCAGCCATCCATCCACCCGTCCGTGAACGTCCATGCATGCATGCAGGCGCCCATAGATATATGCATACCTGTGTACAGAGAAAAACAGACAGACGGACAGACAGACAAGCAGATAGGCAGACAGAGACTTACGTACAAGGGGCTCAGGGCAGTTGTCCTTCAGCTGCGTTTGTACGATTGCCAGCTCTTTGGCCAGCGATGAAGACTGGTCCCGCACCTAGGTCATGAAACCCAAGCCGCAAACATCGCTAAATCCTAGGCGCCTTGTCCCTGTAAGCCCTCAGCCCTAAATCCTGAACGCTAAAGCCTAAATCCTATCCCCTAAATCCTAAACCCCTAAATCTTAAATCCTAAACCCCTACATCCTAAATCCTAAATCCAAAACACCTAAATCCTAAATCTTACACCCTAAACCCTGCTGCTTCGGTTGCCAAGTGCTCTGCAGGATTTGGAGCTTGACCGCCTTCTGACACGCTCAAAGCTGTATCCTAAGCCCTTCCCGAGGCTCAGGGTTTATGCTTCAAAGCTAGAGTTTAGGGTTTTGGGAAGCTCCTAAAGCCCCAATGTTGCTGGATCACTGTTCGTGATCCTTCTTCCTTATTCTACCTATACATAATGCTATAGTGGACTGTAACACAAAACCCTATTCAGGCTACTGTGTTCAAATCCTTGTCATAGGACTTACACAGCCCTAAACCCCAAACCCAAAGTATGTAGAGACTTCGGGGAGTCGGCGAGATTGGGAGCCCGAAGTGCCGAGTACTTAGTTTAGGGTTTAGGGTACTTACAGCCTACTTACAGAGGCTTCATCGCCATGAATAGGGTCGGCTTCAGGGTTCAGGGTTGGGTTCCTTTGAGGGTTTGGGGTTCCTTTACGTTACCGCCTACTTCAATCGGTTGAGGGCTTAGGTTGCTAATCGGTGTTTAGGACTTCTGTCGGGCAATGGTGGTTTCTTTTGAGTTTGGGTCTTAAGGGGCTTTATAGTGCCTGAGAAAGTGTGGAGTTTAGGAGTTAAGGTGCATTTGTGTCTTCCGGGTTTTAAGCCCGCAAAGGAATGCTGCGAGAGCAGGCTTTGAGATTCTTCCCTACTTAGCTGGAGGGTCGGGGACTTAGTAAGTAGGTAATAACTAACTACACTTATAAGTACTCCAAAAAGCATCCTAATTGGGATTATGATACTTACAAGTCTATCATACAAGTACTAAGTCGCCCGACCCTTCGAGACCCTACGGGGCCACAATTAGGCACTTGGGTTTAGGATCGCAATAATATGCAAAAAATCGTAGGCAGGTATCTATTTCGGGGGAGAATGTAATTACCCTTCTGGCTGCAAGCAAGGAACAGCTAAGTAAACTGGCAGAGTTGTACATCTATAACAATAAACGGTGTTTTACAACACCTGTGCTCGGACAACCGACCTGTATGCCCGCATGTAAACCATATGGGTGGTTGTCACAATTAGGGTCCCTTTTTGGGCCCTTATATTAGAATACGGCACCTATTATTTAGGATACCCAAAAAGCATTTTGACAACTACCCATGTGTTTGGATGTATGTGCAAAGATTCTTACCCTGCATGCACATGCATTCATACAAAGAGACAGCCATGCTAAGGATCGAGCCAACTTCCACTGGATGTGCGCCAGCTCTGCCTGGCCGTCGCCGAGCTAGGAGTTCATTAGGCTTCGTAGCGGCTCGCACGGGTTTAGGTTTGGAGCTTAAGCTCGTGGATGCGGATTACTGTTGGCGTGGAGGTTGAGGAATGTAAGTTTGTGTCAACGGTCTCAGATCGTTTCTGAGAATTACAGTATTGATCAATGCGGGCCGAACGAGCTGTTCCGCGCGGATTCGCGACCAGGTTCATTCGTCGGAATTTCCTTCAGGTTGTTGGCGCAGTGGCAACCATAAACCCACCTACACCAGCGCCTTTGTCCCCACTTCCGCCATCCTTGGCCCGAGACCTTGAACCCCATCCACATTTACCGGGAACCATTAAGCCTTATGTCAGAGCCCGAAACCCTCAAAGGTTGAGAATTTAGGAATTGGGGGTGAAACCTAATCCGACTGTTGATGTCCATGCGGTACAATTCACATCATCAACTCAAGTATATCGGGATTTGTCCATCGACTCGATGGCAGTCTCTTGAAATGCAAGTACGTCTGCACCTGTTTCTCATCGACGGACTGCAGCTGCCGTTGCCACCTTTGATATGCTTCGGGGCTCCACTATAGCGGCCTTAATCATTAGAATAGGGTTTTGGGGTATCTTATACTATAAGTATAATCAGGAACCCTAACAAAATGTTGGTAATTATGTAAGCCTCTGTATTAAGTGTCAAGGTTGGGGCTCAATCTGGGCGGTGAGGCACTCTTTCCAAAGGCTCCATGTACCCATATAGTAGGTACTTAGGATTTTAAAGTACCCATATAGGCACCCCTCAAGGCCTAAGCATCTACTGTATGGGTACATGGAGTCTTCTTCAGCGGTCGAGAAGCTGGGCTGTTCCGATCGTCAGACGTAGCAGATTGGAACTGCTAGTTTTATATGGGAGGGTTTAGGGTTTAGGGGTTTAAGGTTTGGGGTTTAAGGTTTAGGGGCTCGGGTCTAAGGTTGACGGATTGGGGTTTGAGTTCGTGGAGCTTGGTCCCATGAACCTTACCTTACCTTTGGTTAGTAGGGAATGGAGGAATGGGGTACAATTATATCTACTGTTACTACCATTCTTCCATTCCCTACTAACCAAGCAGAATAAACAAGAGAAGCCCCTGGCATAAGAGCACCCGTTCAGGACCAGAAACACGCCACGAAACGCCAAGGAAGCCTTGGGCTTTGAGCACAAAATGATCGTGCAGCAGAACAGGGTTTAGGGTTTAGGGTTTATAAGCACAAGGTGGCGCAGATCCAGAAGTTCGCCCCACGCTTCCGCTCCCCTAACAAATCCCCCAGAAGCGAAAAACGCAAAACAACTGAGACCCCCAATGCCCAATCACCCGTAACCTTAGACCCTGAACCCTGAAACCAAAGCCCTACGCCCCAAACCCGCAATCCCTATCCCCTAAACTCCATACTTCAAGCCCACTAAGGCTCCAACTCTTCCTGACGCCGGTTGACCACCCCAAGGGTTTGCTTGAGGGCCTGGGACTGAGCTTAGAGGGCTTCGAGGGTAGAGAGAAGGTATGAAGCATAGGCCTTTGTCGTTGGAGCAGTGAGCAGTGCTCATGATGAGCAACATCAGGCTCTAAACGCATCGGGTTAACATATTTCGTCTTTCTTAAGTTACCTCGGTCCATCAAAAGAGCAGCGTGTATGGGCTTTCTGATATTTATAGTCATACACCATGATCACAAACTGCACGCCGTGGCCACCAGCTTTGTCATCACCTCCATGACTGCTGAGTTAACATGATTTTGCTCATCATCGGCATCCTCGTCGTCAATCATTGTCGTCACCTGCACCATAATCATCACCATGTTCTCCTCCTTAACTCACCGGGAATCGGGTAATGTATCTGTGCTATGTTCGCAATGGCAGTATCACAATACCCTCGTGAATTCCACAAAAGCGGAAATACCAATGGAAACACCATCAGCACCCGGCAACAACAACAGCAGCAGCCACAGCCACGGCCAGAGCAACAGCAGTAGTCGTCGCGTTAGTGGTTGCCGTGACCACCATCAGCACCAGCACCAGCACCAGCAGCAGCACCAGCACCAGCACCAGCACGAGAACGAGCACCAGCACCACCACCACCACGACGACACAAACAACGACGACCACAACTACCATGCTACTACGACGACGAAAACGACAAGGACAACGACAACAACAGCGATGACGACAACGACAACGACCAGGAGGACGACGAGGACTACAACGAACGTCATGACTACGACTGACTACTACGACGACTACGACGTCTACGTACTACAACTAGCCTCATCGGAAGCAGCAGCCTTGAGCCAAGCTGTGCTGACTTCGCTGAACCACTAAGCGAGCCGGTGCTGACAGTAAGAACCCTCGACTATAAGAACTAGCCTGAAATCCCAACGCCTAGTATCCGTAAACCCAGCAACCTAAAATGCGACGAATCCCGTATAGACCCCAAAGCCTCGACCGGTAACCTACAGCCAACAAGACCGGACATCTGAAACAAAGAAACTTGACAGCAATCTGACAGAAAAGCTTACAAAACCCTAAACCCTAAACCCCTAAAGCCCTAAACCCCAAACGGCGCCTCGGGATCTTCGAAGTCCTCTGGGATGGCGAGCCTTAAGCGCCAGGAGTTTAAGATGACCCCAGGGTGCTACAACACCCAAAAAGACTCCAACATAGAGCCCTCATAGAACCCTTAAAGGACAATTTTAAAGGAACCCTTGTTCTAATTCTATTATGGCCCCTACAATACCCAAAGACTCCAATATCCCTCATTTAAGGAATAGACTTTAAACTGTACAAGGATTCCTAATGTGCATTAAAGTATATTCCTTAATTAAAGGATATTGAATTATTGGAGTCTCTGGGTATCGGGGCCTAAGTAATGAGCGTAGGGGTTCCTTCACAGGGTTTTCTGGGAGAGATCCTAGAAGGGTACTATAAGGAGCTTAGGGATATAGGGGCCTTAATGACTACCTGGTACTATTTTGGGTTCCTTATTTTAGCTATAGTATAATGGGCCCCAAAACCCTATATTCTAATTAGTAAACTAATTAGTAAATAAGGCCTTCATATTACGCCAGGCGTCACCCTGAAGCACTGCTTAACTCCTAACCCCCAGCATTAGGTGCGTTGAACCGGGCACTTCACCTTGCAGAAAGAAAGACAAGGCCCCCAAACCGGCTTCTAACTAAGGCCCCTATGTCACTACTTAAAGGGTCACGGGACTTAGTAACTAGGGTTATAATTAGGGTAGCTATACTTGTAATTACTTATAACCCCAATTAGGGTACTTGTAACCCTACTTACTAAGTCCCATGATCCTCCAAGTATGTAACCTCCGAGCTCCTTGTTTTTGGATCCTCAGTAGGCTTCCATAAAGGGTTTCTTGCGGCTGCGACGTCTGTAATCCGGGAGTTTCCGAAAAAGGGGTACCGTATTTCGGGGCCGTATAGTAAGGATCCTACTATCTAGGGTCCGCTAGTTCGGAAACTCCCAGAAAGTGGACCTCAGAAAGATGGAACATGGATTGGGGTGATGAGTGCTGCTAGGATTCTTTATAGCCTTATACTATGCCTTAAGGGCATTTGGACAATGATGTTCCAATTTTCTGGCTTCTACTGTAGTATAATACTGAGAGCTCTGCTCTTCCTGTCTGCTGCACGATTCCACAACCAACCGTGAGTTTCAATGTCGTCTGCGGCTGAGTTCACGTCAACGACTGCACCAGCTTGGGCCAGCACATGTGCACGCTCAACAGCCAAGGATGTATGATAAGAGCTGTGGTGCCTAACACAGCATCGCCTCTGCTGCATAAGCTGTGTCACTGCTTGCTCAGCGAATCATTGCTAGCACTAGCGTCGAGCATCCGAGAGCACGCGCACAATCTCAGTACGGCCTCGTCCACATGCACAGGCGAGGGCTGTCTCGCCGAAAACATTTCTCACGTCCCTGTCAGCGCCGGCTTCCAAAAGGATACTCGCAATCTCAATATGGCCTTCCTCGCATGCACAAATGAGGGCGGTGCGGCGGTAAATATCCCGCAGATTTATGCCAACACCAGCTTGCACAAGCGTGCGCACAATCTCAACATAGCCGTTGATGCATGCATGGTGGAGGGCTGTGCTGCCGCAACGATCTCTTAAGTTCACGTCAGCACCAGCTTCCACAAGCATGCGCGCAATGTCAACATGGCCTTTGATGCATGCACCGTGGAGGGCGGTGCAGTCGAAATTTTCGTCGAAATCAGCTGTCTCGTTCACGTCAGCACCAGCTTCCAAGAGGACGTTGACAACGGCAATGTGTCCGCGGTAGGATGAAGCATGTAGAGCTGTCTCTTTATGGTGCCTTCCTCTTGGATCGGGGGAGGGCGCCACACCAGCCTTCAAAAGCAAGCACACCGTGTCAGCATTGCCCCTGGAAGCAGCACGAATGAGCGCACGCTTGGAATCAACACAGGACTCGCCGGAGACCGGTAACAACACCAGCTGTACATCCCTGGAAGCATCCAACTCAGCAGCGTCATCCAAAATACAGCCGTCCTGCAGGAGCTGTTGCAGGGACTCCGGGAGGTCATAAAGCCCAAAAAGACGCGTCTTCAATTCTCTTGCGTAATGCACATCTACCGGATTTATGGCCAGTACTTCGCCCGAAAGCTTCAAGACACGCGCCATGCGGGACCGAAGCATCAAACTTCAGCTGAGATCTGAAGCCAGAACGGCTCATTCGAGAAATCCGCACAACAGCAACTCAGAGGGCCTCATAGCTTGTCTCCCTAAGGGTCCATGTACCCAAATACCTAGGGAGTACTGTACGGCCAAAGTATATACTATTTGGGTACATGGACCCTTTGGGTCTATTCGTGCTTATAGTAATTATCAGGGTTTTGGGGTAGTAGCAGCTGAGATCCAGAACTCACAACCAATATGCACCAAGAAAGGCAGCTGAATAACCCAGCAAAGAAGGCGAGGAGAACGGGAGCTTCACACCGATACTTCACAGCACGAATACTCCCTGCTCATATCCTCAAAAATGTCGTTGTTTTCTGCTTGTGTTTGTGTCTGTTTGGGGAGAGCTTTTATTTGGAGGGGGAGTTCACAACTCCCTAATGGCTGGTGTGTTTTATTCTACTGATGCCGTCTTTTTCACGACTGTCAGGCAGGATAGTCTAAGCTTCTATTTCGGAGAATGATCGCTGTGTCTGAAACTGTTCGTGCTGTGTTCTTCGTCCTTGCTTTTATTCCGATGATTTCGGTGTGCACGGGTATACCTATTTAGATTGCAAAAACATCTCGGACTTGCGGCTTTTTCCAGCCCTACTGCCATAAAATTCTGAAGCCGCAACATCCTCAAGCTGCAGCGCCCCTCCATAACCCTAAACCCTAAGCCCATATAAAGGTTCAAAGTTCAGGGTGAAGGCTGCAGCCCGGAGGGTACCTTGAAACGCTGCAAAGTTGCGGGAGGAGGGCTCGTGATGAATATAATTATATAAGCCTAAGAACCACTAAGTTGAGGGTTTAGGATCATACCCTAAGTTTAGGGTTTAGGGTTTTGGGGTTTGAAGGGTTCAGGATTATACCGCAAGTTTGGGGATTAGGGTTATAACAGAATACGATTGGGGGCCTAGACTTTACAATAGCTGAAAAATCGTAAGGCGCCTTAAGGAATAACATTGGTACCGTAGGGGCCTAAACAATTGCCAAGACTATATTGGGGGGGGGTCCGTATTATAACTATGGTATAATGGGCCCCAAACCTTATGCATTCTAATTATTAAGGGATTCATGTTACACTAGGCGTCACCCTTAAGCACTGCTTGACTCCTAACCCCCAAAAGGTTTCATGATTTGGGTTTAGGGTGTAAGGAATATTGGCAATTATTAAGGCCACTATATCCCTAAATCCCTTATAGAGCCCTTATAGAATTATAGAACTATAGAATAATAGACTTATAGAACCCTTAAAGGACCCTTTAAAAGGAACCCTTAAATTTGGATTCTTGGATCTCCGGCGCAGCTGGCGTACCCGGACCCGGGCCCGGCGAGGGCGTGCGGGTGAGAGGTTCCACAGGTACGGGAGCCTGGGATGGGTTGTGGCTTCGGGTTTCTTTCATAGGGTTGAGGGTTTATGGTTAGGGTTTCTTTCAAACGGTTTAGGGTTAGGGTGTCTTTTGCAGGGTTTAGGGTTTCTTTTAAAGGGTTTAGGGTTAGGGTTTCTTTTAAAGGGTTTCGGGTTTAGGGTTAGGGTTTCTTAGAAAGGGAATAAAGGTTAGCCTTTATGAGGTTATGTAGGGATTAGAATACCCCCCAACAGGCTCAAGGTTACCTGGAGGGTCGGGAGACTTAGTGAGTAGGAAATAAGTAGACTTAGAAGTAGCCCAACAGAGATCCTACTTGAGGCTATGATACTTGTAAGTCTAGAAACCAACTACGCGCTGAGTCTCCCGATCCTGCAAGTAGGGGTTCTGGGTTTGGCTTAGAATTTAGGGTCAAGGGTTCAGTTTAGGGTTTTAGGGGTTCGGGCTTTAGGGAGCCTTGGATTCTTCTCTGTGTGTTCTGAGCAGGGTCTTGCTTATGGAGCTGTTAGACCAAAAACTGAATCAATTCGTTCTCTGCTTGTAGCTATTGCCTGTACCTGTTAGACAACGAAGCCTTTTCCCTTGTCAGCATTTCTTGTAATCATTTGACTGATGTGCTTGTTTGTCTTGAAGTTTGGTTTGAGCCTCTTCTGGCATGGGCAAATTTCGGAGTTGCTTCAGATTGGCGAAAAAGCAGTGACCCCAGAACCAAAACAACCCTGCATGTCCTTTCGAGTTCGATTTAGGCCACCGAGCCTTCGATCCTGTTTGAAGGTGCGGGGCAACCGTAAACTCCAACCTAGAGTGCTGAAGGCCTGCACCTCCATTCCCAAACGCTCCATAATACCCTTTATAGTAGCCCTTATAGATCCCTTTAAAGGAACCCTCAACCCTGATTACTCCATAATACCCCTTATAGTAGCCCTTATAGACCCCTTTAAAGGAACCTTAAACCCTAATTCGGCCCCTGAAGTACAGCTAATCTTGGCTCGTTGCCACTGCCACGGGTTCGCGAAGCATCTCGTCCGGGGCCCTTAGGTTGAGCTTCTGTTCATCTGACTAGCGGGTGAGGTTTCGGGTTTAGGGTTGGGAAAGTTTTTAGGAGTTTTAGGATTTTGAACCGATAGTAGGATGCAGATGGCGCAGTTCCGTCGGCTTGAAACATGTGCTCATTCCGTCAAATCTAGTGTCGGGATGTCCGTGCAGAAACCATGGCCACTTTATGCAGATCCACACCGGAGTCTCTGATACGAAGGCATCGGTTTCTCAAGCGTTCTCTTTGCGGGCTGATGATATAAATCCAGCACGACCTAAAGGACCCGAGATCATGGGAGTTCTGGTATATTCCGTATTGTGTGTAATGCAGGATTTATATCATCAACCGTATTTTGCGGCCTGCCTTACTTACGCAACAGCAAACCGTAAACCCTAAACCCTAAAGCCTCGACCTCCTCCTCCCTACCCAAAGCAAAAACTCCAAAGATCACGAAGCCCGAGGTCCCGAAATCCTCAACCACACCAACATAAACAGATCAAGCACTAAACCCTAAACTCTTATAAACCCTTAGCCCTTACAAGCCCCTTATAAACCCTAAACCCTCAGATCCTAAAACCCTAAATCCAAAACTCTTATAAACCATCCTAACTCCTAACCCCCTGAACCCTTATAAACCCTAAACCCCAAACCCTCAGATCATCGTGGTCCCAGGGTTACCCAGAGACTCCAAAACCCCTTAATTGAGGAATATACCTTAAATTATAGTAGGGATCCTATTATGATTTAAGGTATATTCCTCTATTAAAGGGTTTTGGAGTCTCTGGGTACTTCGTAGCCCGGGCCCTCGAGCAGACCCGAGCCGGGGGTCGCTTTTCGACCGCCACCTCCCAGGGGCACAGGGATTACAACGTGCTTTATAAGACTTTAAGGTTTTAGGGTAGAGGGTAGAGGGTTAGAGAATGGCTTCTGACGGGATTTGTAGAGCCCCCCCAGGGGCACAGGGATTAAAATTTGCTGTTTAAGGCTTTAAGGTTTTAGGGTTGAGGGCTTATAGGGTTTAGGGTCTATGGGTGTCTATAGGGTTTAGGGTCAATAGGGATTAACATCGGCGTTATAAGGCTTTAAGGCTTTAGGGTTTGGGGCTGCAAAGCTTTTTTGCTTTGTTACGAGCTCCTTTTCCGTTTATCGGCTTTGTAGGGCTTTCGGGCTTAAGGCTTATAGGGTTTAGGGTCGGTAGGGTTTAGGGTTCATAGGGTTTAGGGTTTATAGGATTTAGAGGCTTATAGGCTTTAGGGTTTAAGGTTTTAGGGTTTATAAGGCTTAGGGTTTAGGGGGGGTTGGAGAAGGGCTTCTGACGGGATCTGTGGAGTTTCATACCAGGGTTGTTCATCTCGGGTTTCGGAGGGTTTAATCAGGCTTTACAGTCCATTATTTTTTCAGGTGTTTACATAGTTGTAGAGGCCTTGTAAGACGGGTTTCCTCTACACTCAAGATCAGGGCTTGAGGTCTTACGAGACGTATTCTTGGGGTTGGCAAGGTCTGCTTATGAGGGTTTAGGGTGGCACGCTTGGGGGAGAGGGTTTTCGGGCTCCAGGCTTTTGTGGATGTAGAGGGTGTCAGGGTGTATAAGGCTTCAGGGCAGGTTCCTGTTCGGATTTCGGACTGGTATCGGCAACTTGAGTGCAACCCCAAACAAACGACACCCCAGTGCCCGTAAATTCGCAGTTTAGGGTCTACGGTTTGGGGTTACTGGAGTTCCGAAGTTTCCGACATCTCTCTCTACGAAGAGGTGCCTGCCCTTCGCGCTGTCAGCGGCGGCCGAACGCCGTCAGCCATGACGCAGGCCGCAAAAAGAACAAATTCCCTAAGTGCATGAAGCCAAATCCAACCTAAACTCTTTTGAAGCAACCCCGAGAATATGTAAACACAACACCCCAGCATCTACAGGACCGACCTACAGGTTAGTCGGGTTGGAAGAGACTTGTATGGGGTTGTCTGCTGTGCCTTGCTTTATGTAGTTGATGATGAGCTAGCTTAGGAACGTCTAAACTAACAACTTTTTTGTGCTTTCTTATGAGGCCCAATATATACATGCAGACAATGTCGCAACTATTACCTATGGATTTTCTCGCAACTTCGTCTGCGGGTTATGGATCTTTGCCTAGTTTCGGCAGCCAAGGAAACCGCGAGCTGGAGCCTTTGTAGGATCCAAACATGTCCAACTCTGCCAGTTCTGGCCAATGATGCCGTCGACTTGGCATAGCCTGCCAAAACTTTACCTCGGCACCCTGTGCAGGCACAGTCAGTTGATAAATATATATATATATATATAAGAATCATGTACTTAATCGCATGTCACTACGTGGATACATGAACACCTATCAAGTGTACGCCGTGCTCCAAGGTTACGCCCAGAGTGCCCTTTGAAGAATTGTTGTGCGGTTGCAACCGGGTTCTGAGCATCAGAAAGGCCCCGTTCCCTGGGGCTCAAAATAGGCCGAAAGCCTTAGACATTTATGGTCTTTGGGCCCAGAGGCCTTGATATATGAGTCCTTAGAGCCCTGGGGGGTTGAGGTTGCGGGGGTCGGGTGGAGGGTCGGTGGAAACGGGGCAGCCCTTGCTCAGATGGTATCCACCTTCAGTTAAAGTCATCCTTTTACCGGGTTTGAGGGCTGAACAACGTGAGGTACTAAAGCCTGCAACGGAGACCCCGAAATCTGAAAGCTAAGCTCATCGAGGGGCTATACTCTAGACTCTAAACTCTAAACCCACGAGCCCTAAATCTTAAGGTGCCAGCACACATCCCAATAACAGTTCCTAAACCAAAACCCCTAGTATCAGGGACCATGCAGAGTTTAGAGCTTGGGGTCTGAAGTCTCAAGCAAAATTAGCCCAGAAGCCCAAACGACAGAAGGCACGCCTTTTCATTGCTCACGGGTTTCCGCTCGGAAATCTTCGAAGTTGCCATCAGCCTTAAACTGCCAAACGCTAACCCTGGAGTTGCAAAAGGAACCACGGACGTGGATCATATACTCAGATTTAGGGTATGGGGTTCATTGTCGGGTTCAGGGTTTCAGGTAGGTTTTAGGGTAGTCATACTATACAGGTACGCTTTACGGTTTAGGGATTCAGGTTTGGGGTCTAGGGTCTACATTAGCGCCCGAAAGGAATCTTCATGGCCTACTATCAGGTGGCGCAGAAATCCGGGAAATGCAGCAGGCACACACATTGACCCACGTGCTAGGTCGCAGTGGTCAGTGCGCCAAGTCCTTCTCGACCTGGGTCAACATCTTGCTTCTGGACAAGGGGGCGTATGTTGCACATGCTGCATGCATCAATGCGCTGAGACCCGCACCCTCGGAGACGTGCGATGTTGCTCCAGTCCGAGGGAGGCGCCAGGAATGCCGAGAACCTACACTGCTCCCCGGCATTTTCCGGGCATCAGGTTTAGCAGGCCACTGCACGTCTGGGTCTCTTCATCCATAAAGTCGTCATCTTTCTTGATCGTGTAATCAGCAGCTTGCCTCCGACGCACGACACCTCATACATCTGCCACACGTTGCGCCGCCTCGGAGCTTTTTGCAAGGTACTGTACCAGCTAGACTCTTCGCATCTTTGCGCTATGGGCTTCAGCTTTGCAATCCCAGCTCGATGATGGCCGAGAGCTCCGAGAAGTGAACTCCAGAGAGCGAAGTGTCGACTCCTTTCCAAGGTTTGCTAGTGCCCTCTGGGCACGGAGTCTGTCCTCCCCATCCATGGTCTCACATCGTTCGGTCAGGAATCCTGCGACTGGAAGCCACAAGGGGCTTGCGAAGTCACTGAGTCACTATGATGGGCACCCTGATCGCTACGAAACCCCGTTTAATCGGACTTCTTTAGGCTTGCTATATTGAATCCTGCAATGCGGCTTTCCGATAAGGCGCTGAAACTGCCAAGCACTGCGCGCGCCCGGGCGCGCACGAACTTGTCGCCATTGCCCAGCAGCAGCGCTGTGGGCGCCACGAGTTCCTTCGACGGCACATAGGGGCCCTATGACTTAGAATAGGGGCGTAAGGGGGGCTGTAGGATTCGTATGCTACTTCCAGAAGAAACGCAGGTGCTCTGGTCGCTTACTCCACGGTTCAGGGTTATAGGGCATGGGGTTCCTAGGCTTCGCGGTTAGCTGCAATACGATGGCCATGATGAAGGACTATGGAGCAGCCCCTGTTCACTATCAACTGTTCGGGGTTTAGGGCTCAAAGCGAATCCCAGAAACTTGGAAACTGGTTTAGGAGGATTAGTGCTAGGATCCCTCATACTGTACCGAAGATACCAATGTTCAATTTTTCTGGCTATATCGTGTCTTCGCCGAAGTTCCAGCACCGATTGCGCCTCGCCCTGTGGTACACTGCGAAGAGCGTACATGGCCCGAGCAGAAACATGAGGGCAAGGGTCTTGAAGCGCAGTCGTCCTCAAGAGCACAGCTGAGGGTTTAGGGTTTAGGGCTCTGGGTTTGAAAGGGTTTCGGGTTTCGGCTCTCCCATGTAGTTGAGTAATTGTGCCATGTCTGTTATACTTATAGCATGTAAATGCATGAAGGGCCTCCTACTATGGTATACATATATAATTATATATATATATATATATTTATTTATGGATATTTATTTGTTTATCTATTTATTTAGTTATTTAGAGAAAGAGCAGAGGCTTGTTGTGCCCACGATCCCAAGCCCTTCCTTGGGTACCTAAACTCTGAACTAATCGGCCAAGGGTTCCGGGCTATAGAGCTTGGTTCCTTTAGTCGAAGCCTGTATAGATGCGAAGATGAGACGCATCAGTCGCTGCAAACTGTGATCCCTGCAGTACACTAAGTCTGAGTAAGGTCATACAAGCAGACCCGATGCCGTTTTTAGGCATGTTCCTCACTTAGACACCATTGGGCAATCTGACTTCACCATACTGTAGGGGCTTTGATAGTTAGAATAGGCTATTGGGGTATACTATACTACACCTATAATGAGGAAACCCCCAAAACGTCTTCTAATTATTAAGGCCCCTAACTACTCAGCATGCCGGGAGTCAGTGCAGCGATGGCTCCCTTTGCCTGCTTTGAAAGCTTTCATACCGGCTCGCCCGGGTTTCTTCATAAGCTCGATTTGTAAGAGCTCTTAGGCGGTTCATCTTTTTAGGGGTGGCCAAGAGGTCTAGGGGGGTCAGGATTCGATTGCTTGGGGGGGAGGTGTCTAGGGTTTAGGGATTTAGGATTCTCGGTTTAAGGGACTTTCAGTTTTAAGGTTCCCTGGTGCAGGGATTCGGGTCCAGGCTTTTTCCGGTGTGGGGTGAGGGTGTACGGAATTACGCATTAGTGGGCACGGTGCCTAGGGATTAGTTTAGGGTTTCGAACACGGCTGGTTGAAGGCACTAGGCTGTGGAGTTGGCAGTGTGCATCTGTTTTGAGCGCCAAGAATACCCGATCTAAGTCCACTTTGAGCCTTTAGGTGGACGATGAGGCACGACAAGACTCAAGAACATCATCATGCACTTGGGCAGCTCTTCTAAACCCCAAAACCATCAATCAAATCATAAACCCGAGGCCTTCAACAACCCCAACTCCGGGCCCTCGACCTTAATCACGAGTTCTGGGTCCGCTTCACAGATCCCCCTGACTTAAACACATCTCGCAAGACACTTCAGAAAACAAAAGGGTGGGAGGCAGGGGAATCATGGCTGGGGTATTCAGGGCTTGTAGGATTTAGGGTTTAGGGCTTAGGGTTAGGGTTAAGTCATGTAGAGTTCGGGGTTTAGGGTGTTCGCGGCATTGCTCTGGGTATTTAGGGTTTAGGGAATACCCAGAGTTATTGGACCTTGTAAATTTTTGTGTGCTGCAGGACCCTGGGATAGGTCATTCCAGGGGTCTTGTCGGAGAGACCTAGGTCAGGATCCTAAACCTCAGACCATGCAAGAATTACTTTCTTGGGACCTTCAAACAGGTTTCTTGCTATGGTTTCCGTTCTTCTGTTGGAGACTGCTGCGGTGATGATAGCTTTCATACTACCCCAGCTATAGTAGTCCGTACTAGGCCCTAGTACGGACTACTATAGCTGGGGTAGTGTGAAAGCTATGGCTACCTCTTTGCAGATGCTATCGTAGTACGCAGGCATTCAGCGCAGCACGGGGACATTGAGAATGTGGTCAGGACTGCCCCGAAGCCCTATCCCCAAAATTCCCCAAACCTAAACCCTAAACTCCTAAATCCTAAATGTACAGCACATAACAGCAAAGCTGAAACACACGAACCCTCAGCCCGACAACCACAACGCAGAACTCCCGAACCCTTCGAGTATCCTAATCCAGCCCACCTGAAACCTCAGAGCCCCAAAACAACACGAAGCACCCACAAAGCCATACCCCAAACCCCAAAACCCTACGAAGCTCTCTACAGCCCCAAACTCAAGCCAGGACACCGACTTCGGGCGCAGTGCCGGCAACAGCTGGCCGAAGTAGTCAGCAGCCTTGTGCGTTTTGAGGTCTACAGTTACAGTCTGCCTTAATCTGGTGAGCCTGTGCAACAGCTGTAGGGTTCAGGGCTTTAAGGTGCTAACCGTATAAACACCTTGTATTGACATCTACTAGCCTCCCCATTGTCCTCCCCATGCACCCCTTCAAAGCTTGATAACCCTACAGGACCCTGTAGCCCAAAACTTTCAACCACCCCCCCTTCCAAACCCGAAACCCTAGACCCTAAACCGCCAAAACTTGACTCTGACATAAGCCAGAAGGGTCGATGGAAGGATTAGACATCTATCTCAAAAACCCAAGGCTACTTGAAGTTTTACGGCCGACGTTTTCCAAGTCCTCACGGGTTCTATGAAACATATAGCCTGCTTAGGGTTTTAGGGTTTAAGGGCTTGGCTTGTCTAGGGCTTTTCTGCTTGGTTTTCTCAATCTCAAAGTTGAAAGGCTTGATACGTGAGCTTAAGGTGGGATAAAGACATTGCAGTGGTGTTCTGTATTCTAATTTAGGGATTCAACGTATTCTGAATTCGGGGCTTCGGGTTCCAATCTTGGGGTTGCAGCTTTGTCGAGCTTTCTTTCAGCTGTGAGTTTGGAATGTAGTGTAGCGGGCCTTAGCACTTAATCAACAGACTGGTATTCCCTTCTTGTTTTTGAAACAGAAAATACACCAAAACACTGTTCTCATCATTGACGCCTCTACGCCTCTCCAAAAAAAAGATCCTAAGGAAATCCAAGCACCAGCCAATGCCTCAAAACGTCATACCGAGCCCTGAAGCTACAAATGCCCTGAACCTTCCTTGTTCGATCACCCGCCACACCGACACTCCAAGCCACCATACATTGACTTACTGAGAGGGCCGAGACTTTTGTAAGCTCACGAAACACTCAAGACATCATAACCCGATCGAGCATACTTACTCGAGCCATATTTTGACGAACAAACCTCCTACAGAAACCCTTCTGTCTACTAGTTCAGGTAATTACTTAGGACCCTGTGGAAGGTGAGGCCTCTAGATCCTAAAGCACACCCGACGGACCCTAGGCGGCGCGCCGCACAGCGCACGCTGGAGTCTCCATCGTGATGAAGTAGGTCCGCGATGCCTCCGCGATTGGGTTTAGGGTCTCACTGGCCCAAAACCCCCCGAAACAAAAGTTGAAACTTTCAGAATCGACTACCTTATAAGAGCCCCAAAAGTTGAAAAGTTGAGTTTACAGCCAATAAGGGGTTTAAGTGTGGGCTTTTACTTGTTCTTTCAAGCTTCTTTTCCCGCAGATTGAGGATATAGGAAGCAGTCTTATCTGCACGGTCAACGAAGCCTTCTAACATAAATCGTCAACACCACAAAAAGCAACCCCCGAAACTTTGCTTTTGTTCCGGGCGCCTCCTATAATCGCAGCAGAAATTCCCAGAACCTGGACACTGAGCTCTGCCTATCTTTAGTCTCCAATGTAGTTGTCATTTTGCACAAGCAGCTTTGTGGTAAGGAACCAGGAACGCAGAAGCAAGGCGGCCCAGAAGAAGGAACTGAAGCAGGAATCTGGGTTACTGTGAAGGGAATTGAACAACTTGCGATGTTTGGAGATTGAGCTTTAGGGTTTAAGGGGTTCTAGATGTCAGATTCACATTTCAGGTTTGTTGGGCTTAGGGCGTAGCGTGAAGATTTCACATTCACTTCGTTCGCGTGGCGCGCTGGACTGTGCTCACTTGCCTTGGAATTCAAGCTTTGCTGATCAGGCTGCTCACCGCAAGTCTTATTGCTGAGACACCGAATTTATGTATGTGTGAATGTATGTATGTATGTATGTATGTACGTATGTATATGTAACTCAATGTTATACATACAAATGTACAAATATACAATTTTACATATATATATATGTGTATATATATATATGTATATACATCTACATATATACGCATACTTGTTTATGCATCGAGATACGTCTGTTTATGTATATATATATATATATATATGTATATATATATATATATATATGTATGTATGCATGTATGTAAATACTAGATCCTCACACTTGCGCAAACCCACATTCGTGAAGGTCTTGTAGGCTTCGATGAACCCTTACAATGCCCTGGAAGTGCACACGTGCGCAGTAGTAGGGTTTCGGTGTATTAATGCTCTGCTGCAGTTACATGCATTGAAGCAACCTACAGAACCTTGTGAGGTGTTTTTCACGCACCGGTAATGCAAGCCGAGCTGCGAGATTGGCAAGAAGCTCGAGTGCCTGTGCCACGGCGGTTAGTGCACCACTGAGTGAAACCAAGGCCCTCTCCTCTGAGGGACAGCCCGGAATCCCTGCGCCAAAACCCTGAACACCTAAGCTTAAAGCCTTATTAGCACCAAGGCTCCAAGTAAGAAAACTATAAGATTCACACCCCCTAGGGCCGGGCTTGGGGCTTACAGGATTTAGGGGCTTCCCTTGTGGAACCCTGCAAAGGAACCCTATTCTGCTGATTAAGGCCCGTATTCTTGATCTCTTATTGGGGCCGTTTGGGGTAAAGAGTTTTGATTATCGAGCAAAAGTTTAGAGTATGAGGTGATTGGACGGAACATGTCGGAGTGGAGCGCAGCATCGCAATAAGTGGCACAGGCCGCACAAGCCAGAGACCGCAACGCGTTGCACACGACACGAACGCCCTCAGGGTCTTAGGACCCACTTATTCGGCACTCGGTTTAGGATTTAGGGTTTATATAGGCCTTAGCAAAATAGATATGTAGGTTAATTCGTATTTTGCGAAGAATATGATTATTAGCTAATTGCACCCTAAATCGGCGAGGCCAACTTTCAATCACTGAACCTGAAACCCATACCTGAAGCTCAAACCAAGCACAGTCGACTTGTTCACACTGATACTATCGAGAGTAGGTCGTGGCAATGTTTCGCCCCAACCAGCCCAGCGACAAACTGTTCAAGCTTAAACCCGTAAGCCTTAATCCCTAGCCTCCACTTCCTGAACCCCAAACCTCTACACCTTAAATGGGTAGTTGTCAAAATTAAAGTCCCTTTTTGGGTACCCTAAATATTAGGTGCCGTACTATAATAGGGACCCAAAAAATGACCATAACTTTGACAACCACCCAAATGCCAAGCCCCAAACCTTCTTTCTGCCTGAGACACCCCCATGCCATGATGCTCTGCGGCCTTCTAATTTCCGACGAAAGGTTTTTCAAACCCTGCACCTGGATGTCAGCTTTCAGGAACCCCCCAAAACACCCTACAGAGCAAGTGCTAAGCCCCTGAAAGATTCCTCACAAGACTCTCCCTAAAAACCTAATATCAGGGCCTCAATAGTTAGAATAGTGTTTTGGGTCCCATTATGCTGAAACTAACTATAAGAAGGAACCCCCAAAAGTACGAGTGGTAATTACTTTAGGCCCCTATACTAAACCCTTAAAATAGCCCTTATAGTAACCCTTATAGACCCCTTTAAAAGAAACCCTCTAGCCCCCTAAAACCCTAAACACTGACTATAAAAAGCTAAATCCCTTATATAGTACCCTCATAGGATCCCTAAACCCTAAACCCTGAACTCTAAACTCTAAACCCTAAATTAAGCGTAAGCAAGCCCTTCTTCGATCCCAGCCTAGGCATGCGATGGCGACCAGGGATGCCTCCCTGGCACCGGAGTTGCTGTCGGAGAGCAGCCTTCTCAAGGGTTTATGGTTTAGGGATCCTATAAGGGTACTATAAGGGATTTAGCTTTTTTATAGATAGGGTTTAAGGATCTTTTGTATATCTCTAGTGATGCGTTTTTTTTAATGTGCAGTAGCCTCTTTGATCCGCGGGCGGGGCAACGAAGCTCGCAAGGGTTTAGGGTTTAAGGATTTTTGTAAATCTTTAGTGATGCGGGCTAGAATTCTGTAATATAGGGTCCTTAATGACGTAGAATATGGTTTTGGGGCCCAATATGCTGCATCTCTAGTGATCCGGGCTAGCAGTCTGCAGGTAAGGACTTTTTGTGAAGATTCTCAGGGTTCGAATTATCAGGGTTCTGAACAAAAGGGCTTCGCGAGTGTAGGAGTTCAACGCTCACCTACACTGGACATACAGTGGCTCTTATGGGAGTTTCCGAAAATTAGGGGTACCTCATTTGGGCTCCATATATTATGATATAAGGATCCTATTATTAGGGTACTATATTGGGGTTCCCTGATTTTTGGAAACTCCCTTATCCATGAATACCTTGGTTTTGATACTGGATGCTACAGGATCCAAACGATAAACTTGCAGAGAACCAAATGGGTGGTTGTCAAAATTAGGGCTCCTGTTTGGGTCCTTAATATAATACGGCACCTAATATTTAGGATACCCCAAAAAGGGACCCTAATTTTGACAACTACCCAAATATGAACGTTATGGGGGCTTAGGGCTGGCTCGTGTGGGGCTTCAGGATCAGGTTCCTTTACCTCCTGTCTCGCACGAAGAGACTGCAACGTGTGTAGCTGTCTTTTGTGAAAAACAGAGTGCAAGTTCCAAAACAAGCACCTGCCACGCTTCATTGGGGACGGGAAGAGGTGTACTAAATCAGGTAACTATCGTTGTGCTTTTGGCGGCTTCGGAATGTACTGCTCTAGTAGCACGGCACTTTAAGCCGTTGAACATCTTCGGGTGCTCGCCGCAGGGCTCTCAAAGGCCTTAATCCGATAAGGACGCGGGACTTGGCTACCCCAAAGGATCAAAACTGATAACAAACAACAACTGGGGTCTGGGGTTTAGGATTTAGGGGTTTGGGGTACTTCGATATGGATACTTCTTTAACCTTATGACATCCAGCCAGGCTTATTTGAGGACTCGTACTTTCGACCAAAGACCCTTCAGATTCATATTCGCTGTTCGGGTTGGCTCGGAGCCTTGTGGGCGGGGATGTAGCAGGGCGCAACCCCCTAAACCCTAAACCCTGAGCTAATCTCTAGGTTTAGGGTTTAGGGCCATACCGAAAAACCTATCACCCGAAACCTTCTGAGGCGAAGGCTGCACCAATTCATCCTCCACTGCCTTGACCTTGAAAGCAGCGGCACAGGTACCACTTTGTGAGATTTCTTTGATAGGTGCTAATTAGTTGTTATTGCCTCGGGGCTTAGGAAACAGTCTCAGTATTGTCAGCAATGCAATGCAGAAATGTAGTAGGGGGAGTGAAATTACCTAATCTCATGGAGCGTTGGGAACCTGAGCGCATTGTTTTGTCTAACCTTCCTGGTCGCTTGGCCGACTGAGCAACATTACAAAATCCGTACATATGTATGTACGTATGTATGGGTGTATATGTATAGTTATATACATAAACAAAAAATCAATATATGTATATATATATATATGTATATATATATATATATACATATATATATATATATATATATATATGCAATCCCCATACATACACCAACCTCACACATGAAACCTTCGCGACTACGTACTCGGGATTTACCAAGGCTTCCAGCTTCATTTGCAAATGAGAGAGTGTAGACTTGCTCCGTTTCCCTTGCTGAAAAAACCGCACACTGAGCATGCTTTTTCAATAAGAGAACACATATATGTATAGATATATACACACACGTATCTGTGCAGGTATGTATGTATATGTACTGATATAAACAGGTTGGATATGGGGAGGGGGAGGGAGAGAGAGACAGATAGAGAGAGAGAGAGAGAGAGAGTGAGTAAGTGAGTGAGTGAGTGAGTGAGTGAGTGAGTGGTTGAGTGAGTGAGTGCGTGAGTGAGTGAGTGAGTGAGTGAGTTTGAAAGAGAGACTCAGAGAGAGAGAGAGAGAGAGAGAGAGATAGAGACTCAGAGAGAGAGAGAGAGAGAGAGAGAGAGAGAGAGAGAAAAAAAAAGAGGGACTAATATAGGAGTTAAGGGCTTCCTAACACCGAAACTGCCCTGGAAATCCGGAACCCTGTCGCCGGGGCCTGGTCACAGCTTGATGCCGAGAGAGTGTAGGCACGCGCTGCTCCTGAGCGGACGTTTAGGGTGCACGTGCAAACATGGCCATGGTGACTCTCCTAGAGAGATGGCGGTGGTCGTACTGATGTTGGGCATGGGGGTCGTGAACTCAACCCCGGTGACTACACTATGCAGAATGTGCAAAGGGCAGCAACGGTAAAACTAACAGAACCCTCATCATAACCTCAGTAGATCTTCAGTGCAGATGCTGCTGACGAAAGCCACGCGCAGTACACCCATGATGACAATATGTCAAGGGTTGTCACGGCACGGCGATATCATAACTCAAACTCTACCAGACTGGACATCGTTTTCGCATGTCGGGTTCAATTCCGGCAAGTAAACTGCAGAGGTGTGTCTGTTGTAAACTTCGTGAATTCGGGCGCCTAGCCTGCCACTTCGTGCGGCTTGCGTATTTCAGGACCAATTCCGGAATGGAGTCCGAGTTACTTCTGGAACTCACTCCGGAATTGACTCTGGCATGGCAAGCCGTGTCACAAGCCCCATGCAAGGGCTGCCCGGGCGGCCCGATGACAAAACCTGAACTCAATCGGACTTCACCCCGGAGTTCACTCGAGAATTCACCTGGAAATCTGCATTCCGAAGCCCTCAACGCTTCGAACCGAGAGGCTGGATGGAACTCACACCGGAATTCATTTTAGAAACCGTCTGAAACGAACACACCTCGCGAACTCACTTTAACACCCCGTCTGAAATGCAAAATTGGCAATGGTATTGGTCCGTCGCCATGTATCCCATCTGCATTGTGTGGAACCTTTAGACCCAATGCCGTGAACAAGACGGCCCTAAGCCTGGCCTGAACCCTAAACCCTAAAACCCTAAATACCCTAAACCCTAAAACCCTAAATACCCTAAGCCCTAAATCACTAAGCCTGAACCCGCTGCCTCCCCTTGCCAACCAGGTGGAGTTGGTATCGCTCTGACGCTGGATATCTCGAGCACGCTGCTCCTGAGTCGTATATAGGGCTCAGGGTTTAAACTCCTTCATGGGCTGTTTTAGGACTTTTTTAAGGGTTCCTTTAAGGGCCCCCATTAAGGTGTCTTCAGGGTTTTAGGGGCTTTGGGTTTTGGTGTCTAGGGTTTGGGGGTTCTGGGCCTATAAGGGTCCTACAGGGTTCTATAAGGGCCCCTTAAAGGGATCTATAGGGTTCCTTAAAGGGATCTATAGGGTTTAGTTTAGGGTTTAGGGTCTACTTGGAGGATCATGGGACTTAGTAAGTAGGGTTATAAGTATTGGGGTTTACAAGTAATTAGAAGTATAGTTACCCTAATTATATCCCTAGTTACTAAGTCCCATGACCCTTTAACTATACTGACATTAGAACCCTAGCAAAAAATATAATTTTAGCTGTTTCTTAGGGGTTATAATGACCAAAAATTTAAAAATTATTTCTAAGTACCCCTAAGTTAAGTAGGAGCCCCTGAGCAGGAGGCTTCGGAGCTTGGGGCTGTCTGGCTTTACTTACGATGGTGCTCCGAGCCTGCGAGGCTGATTTCAGAAGTCGGGAGAGCCCTAAACCCTAAACCTTAAACCCTAAACCCAAGAGCCCTAAACCCTGGACAGCCCTAAACCCTAAACCTTAAACCCTAAACCCGGGACAGCCCTAAACCCCAAACCCTGCAAGTTAAAAAACAGCCAAAACCTAAAGTCCTGCAATTTGAACTTACCCTGTGATTGCCCGGTTTCTCAAGGGAACTACAGGTCAACCTGTGGGATTCTCTTTACTTACATACATATGTATGTGTATGTATGTATGTATGTATGTATATTTTATATGTATGTGTGTATGTATATATGTACATAATGTATGTTTTAAGTTTATGATTTTATAAATCCCCTCCTTCCCCCCAAAAAAAAATGTTAAAGCTCGACCCTAAGCCTCTACTTACCACCCTGGGCTCCAATCACAAATGCAGCGAGCGTCGAACCTGACGGCCATCTCTCGCACGAACTGCTCCTGGCAGGTGTTGCTTGCAACTCGGCGTTCGGTGCAGGGTTTAAGGTTTACAAGTGTGCAGGGCCCCAGGGCTAAGGATCTATGGTTCAGGGCAGTTTCGGGTTTGGGCTTCAGGGCTTAGGGTGTGGGAACCATAACAGCGCTTGCGCCTGTGGCTCAAGGACAGGATTAACTGCAGATTGGGGCGTGGACCGGGCGAGCCTCGTTTTCTGGCGGTGTAGGTTTGTAATTAGGGTATGTGGCTTGGCGCACATGTGAATTCCTCAGGGTCCAAAGCACCCAACAAGAATGCAATGGGCGTAAGATTTATAAGTAGAGCCACCAATACCTTAAAACCGATCCAAAACGGAGCTCTGACATTTATGAAGCTGTGCAAAAACGCAGCAGTGGCGGTAGTAGTGGTGGTGGTAGTAGTAGTAGTAGTAGTAGTATAGTAGTAGTAGTAGTGGTAGTAGTAGTAGTAGTAGTAGTAGTAGTAGTATTAGTAGTAGTAGTAGTAGTAATAATAGTTGTAGTATTGCATTGCGGACGCTGCACCGAGTCGATGCCTAGCGAAGAGGACAAGCAGCTTCCTGCTCGGCGACTCTAGGTCGCTGTGCATTGTGCACAACCAAAAGGAACTACAACTATTGGCACTCCAGAGAATAAAAGCATATCAATCCATCTCATCCAGCTTTAGTCCAGCCGTATTCGTAGCGGAGCGTGACACTGGACAATCCGGGTCCGAATCCTCATCCAGTGTCAGGTCGATAACCCCCGTGTGAATGCCAGAAAAGGAGGCAGCATGCTGAAACCTCGGACCCGTCGTGTGAGCAGCTGTATCTTCCAAGTCTGGTCCCGTCACCGACAAGTAGTAGTAGTAGTAGTAGTAGTAGTAGTAGTAGTAGTAGTAGTAGTAGTAGTAGTAGTAGTAGTAGTACGGTTGATGATATAAATCCTGCATGACCCATAATAAGGAATATGCCATAATTCCCATAGTTTCGGGTCCTTCAGGTAATGCAGGATTTATATCATCAACCGTAGTAGTAGCAGTAGCAGTAGCAGTAGCAGTAGTAGTAGTAGCAGTAGCAGTAGCAGTAGCAGTAGCAGTAGCAGTAGCAGTAGTAGTAGTAGTAGTAGTAGTAGTAGTAGTAGTAGTAGTAGTAGTAGTAGTAGTAGTAGTAGTAGTAGTAGTAGTATAGTAGTAGACTAAGCACGGTTAAACTAATCTTGACTTCTGCGTCTTTTGGGGGGGCATCATCTATGACTACCAGGTAAAAACTGACAGTTCAGGCTGGGCCTCGTAGAAGTGGAGATGGCGAAGAGTTTGGGCCCAGCTACATTGTAGACGGCTTTGAATTGAGGAACGAATAGCTGGAGTTCAGAGAGCTCCAGTAGTCAACGAGGGAATAAGTCGAAATTAGTGAGTGTCCTTACAAGTCATTGCTGTGATTTAAAAATCAACTCCTTGATTCAGGGGGTCTTGGGCTCTCGGGGAAACCTGGTTCCGCATGTGGCTACAGTGAAAATGGTAGATCTCAGCTTCTTATGTCAGGCTTGTGGGTTCAATTCATGATTCATGAGACTGAGAATATTGCTGCAAACATCATTCGATACCGAGCACAATTAGGGGCCTCACTGCTTAGAGCAGGGATTCGTGGTATAATTTCTGATTCGAGGCTTCTCCACCCTAAACTAAACCTTAAACCCACCCCAAACCCTGACCTTTCAAGACTGCTCTTTACATATGAGGAACGTCCTTCCGAGGTTCGCTCCAGTTGGCTCGCGTAAGCTCCTGCGCTCCCGCAAGATGGTGGAGAACCCAGAATGTTAAGGGGCTCAGGGTTTCCAGGTGCTTTTAAGGTCTTGGGGGTGGCGTAAATCCAAAAAACCCATGAACATGTAGGAGTTGATGGTTACGCAGCTGGGACTGAGACAAAAAAATTGGATTCCTGGGGTTCAGGGCCCATGGCCTGTGCTGCAAGGACCAATTTGGAAACTCCTAAGACGGTTGTCCACACCTCACCGTTCAATGGATAACCACAGGGCTGGTGTGTTGTAGTTATCCCACTTGCATCCCGGCTCTCCGGCAGCCCAGCTCACATGCCAAAACTTCACTCCCTCGGACTGCTCAGATGTTGAATGAAACACCAAGATTCACCCTAAGACATAACATGTAATCGTAATGAAAATGTGAAAAACCCAACCTCCTTCCCTTTTGAAGTACATATTGCGACACTTTCTACAGAGCTGCTTGATTCGAAGCACTGCCTCTCCTGAACTGCAATACACTAAACGCCGCACGCATCCGCACGTCGCCTTCAACCCTGAACCCTTCGTTCATCAACCCAGAACGATTGAAAAGCGTTCTGCCTGCAATCCGTACCTTCGAACCCCAAGGATACCTGCCGCAGAGCACGAGCGGCTTTGCCCAGGCGGTGGCCTAGCGCCTTTAACGAAAGCAACGGGGTGAGCTTTGCGATCATCCCAAATTTTACAAACAGGGAACCTGAGCATTACATAAAGTACAGGTTCGCGCAAGTTTCTGCCGTATACGAGTTTTAGGTCTTGTGGGGGACCCCTACCAAGCGCCCCAATCTGTTACAATAGTGCGGCACTCAGACGACGTGAACAGTCGCTAAGGTGATGATGAGGAGGAAGGTACGAATTAACCGCATTGAAGACCGGCAACCACTGGTGACGACTTGATCATGATGAGACGGTGCTATGAACATTAATACGATCACGCTGGTGGTGCTTCTGACAGCGGCGGCGGCACCAATTGTGGTGGTGTATTCTTGTTGGGGTGTTTCTGTTGTGACAAGAACACGAAACTTGCCAGTTCAGATGTGACGGCTGGTGGATTTGCTGCTGGCTGCAACGAGATGCCACCTATGCAGGCAGTGGCATTTGCATTGATGGTTCCCCACCCTCAATGCTGAGTTCCACCGTTCACGGATGTTCCAGGCAAGTGGCGGCAGGGATGCAAAGCAACGACACCAAGTCTTTCAGCTGTGCCTGCTGGCATCCTCGGTTGTGGCTTTTGGCATGCCCTTCAGGCTGGCCGTGGATTCGATGAGTGCAGGTGTTCGTGCTGTATCTCAATGACGTCTAGGCGAACTCGAGGTTATCTGGCTCACGAAGATATAATTAGGCTGCAGGCTCGGAAGCTCAAACTGTCCGGAAGCACCGACAACTTACTGACGTTTGCGGTGTGTCCACCCATAAGCTGCTATGTTTCAAACACGCCATGACACGCGATGATGTCCGCGTTTCAGGTGGCTTCAAGCATCCGCAATGGTATCAAAAAAAACACAACATTGGCGAGCGAAATGCAATGGGAGTCTTCATGGATGCACGGCCACTGTTTGGAAAATCCAAACCAATCTAACACGGCCATGCACAGACCCAGTCCGGGTGCCTGAGACAACAACTTCAACATGCTTCAACAGTTTCCTCGATTCACTCCTACACCTCGCACCGACTTGCCCCAGGCATCGTGCAAAGTGAATTGCAATTGTGGGTCGCTGCTTGTGGCAAAAGTCATGCATGAAGTTCTGTTGCGAGGAGAGAGAGAGAGAGAGAGAGAGAGAGAGAGAGAGAGAGATATATATATATATATATATATTTCAGCATCATATGAACTGCATCCAAATTCAACACAGGTTGCATTCTTGTCAATCACATTGCGCCCCACGGAGGCTTCTTGCTGGTAATCCTTCCAGAATGCAGCAAATGGGCGGCTAACCTCCCATGGTCGTGAGGCAGAGGCAAATAGGATACTCGCCGTCTGAGCACCGATTGAGACCATCAGGCTGCAAAGCCATACTAAAACTGTGGTAAGCCCTTGCGGCTGGAATGCTCATTCACTTCTGGTGAAGCCTTCACAAAACGATCCAAACACCTTCACGTTTTACATCCTGGGTCAAGGTTCATGGCACCGAATCCCAAACCCAAAGCTGAGAGTTTGAGGTGCAGGCTGTAAGCTTTTGCATGACTGTATTTCTACGAAGAGTATGAAGCCAGCCCTAGATGTCGACCCATAACCCCCTGCCGAAGAACCATGCTGAGGTGTTCAAGGCTCTGGTGACCCATAATTAGTCCAGGGCTTCTTTTGCAAGCCTTTTGGGCTATTTTGTGCCGCAAAAGATTGGGATTGACCGGTTCAGGGCCTACGGCTAGGAGCTCTAAGCCTTCATTGCGTTCGTCGTTTCGCTGGATCAACCATAGTATCTCAAAACAAGATTCTTCATGTCATGCGTAACGTGTGTTTCGTTTCGTTTACGATGTATAATACAGTTTTTCTTATATTCGGCATTGTAACAATTGGGAACTCTACAATATATGAATATGTTGCATCTTATGCACCGTACGTTATACCAAATATTCGTTATCTCATGCATCTTTGAAGTACATGTAGCATTGTTCATACATGTTATTTTGACTTCCACCGAATGCATTGAGACGTATGGCGAGTTCGGGAATAATATACAAAAGTATACGTACACATAAAAGACATCGATAGCTAGATAGATCGATAGATATATAGGTACACAACGAATATCTGACGGGTATCTGCATATGTATGAAGGTACATGGTCTCCAGTGGGGTGTTGCATGTGCTGATAGGGGCTCATACTCTGCCTTGTAGTTGGCATCGTTGCTTTTTGCGCCTGCAGGCCTACATCAAGCCAGGTAAACACGGCAAGAACACATGATATAGAGGCCTTCATCATTAGAACAGGGTTTTGGGGCCCATTGTAAATACTATAACTAAAAAGGGCCCCCAAATCAATACAGGTAATAATTGCGGCCCCTATATTATCGGGGCTCATGCGAAGTGTCAGGAGCTGTCGTAAGCTCATGCGCAACCGGAAGGGGGGTCTCATAGCCGGTCACAGCTGCTCAGAACCACCTTTAGCTCCAACTGCCTATCGTAGTCATCCCAGGGCTCAAGGGAGCATAATTAAACCCTAAACCCTAAACCCTCGTTTGGGACATCCTTGCCTCCCATTTTGTAGGGTGTTGGTACAGTGCAAGAAGGGTACCATGTGTGGGGGTCTGAGCAATTCACCAAACATGACCTCCGTAAACCCAATATGATTTTGCCACGGCTTAGGGTTTAGGGTTTCAGGGTTCAGGGTTTAGGGCTTTCAATCTGGTTTGGGGGTTTTGGGGTTTCGGGTTTACCGTAGGATTTAGGGGTATGACCCGGAACCAGTTTTGATCCGGAAGGCTGCTGTACTATGCACAGCAACCCTATTTCTTGCCCGGGAGCCGAAAAGAAGCGTGGGACCCTAAACCCAAACCCTCGAATTTAGGGACTAAAAGCTGAAACCAAAACTCCAACCTGAAACCCATAACCCTAAACCCAGGCAGCCTAGGTTCCTTTTCAGTCATGTGATAACATGGGCGCCTTGATAATTATAGCAGGACTTTGGTGGCATTATCATATACTGTATACTTGTATCATATAGTAAGGCCCCCTAAACGATAGTATTGCCAAGCACAGAATTCAGGCTTCTCTGTTACCCGTGATTCGCCAAAGTTTAGGATGCAGGTTTCAGGGTTTAGGAGTTGTCAGAGTTTCAGTCGTTGAGTCTAGGTTCAGGAATTAAGCCCAATGTGTAGGACTTGAGCACTTCGCACATCTATACCCACTTGATGCAGACATATTAATATGAAGCCCTGCCATTGAGCCCAAACCTCTTATGATAGTTCTTTACTGGGATTGAGCCAGAAGGCTTCATGATAAAGTGATAAGTGGGGTTACAAGTAGGTAACTCTACTTATAACCCATATTAGGGGACTTATAACCCCACTTATAACAATAAAGACCAACTCGATTTGACCCTAAGCCCCAAACACCCTTCAAAGCTAGGGTTTAAACCCTCGGCTCCGAAACCTTAAGCATAAACCCCTATATAACTTCAAATACCCTAAAACCTAAACCTTAAGCCCTAAGCCCTAAACCCTAAAAACCTAAATACCTTTGACCCTAAACCCTAAATACCTTTAATCCTAATGCTGCCTTAGATTCGACTGGCTCTGCCAAGACAGAGCAGATCCAGTGGGTGAAGGCAGCCAATCCTTAGCAGAGCAGTATAGGGGCCGAAACAACTATAATGTGGGCCTTAATAATTTGAATAGGGTTTTGTAAGTAGTTTCATAAGTTCCCCGACTCTCCAAGTATATACCATGAAAACTACTTCCAAGCAGCGCACCTACAGAATGCCAAACAATAAACAACAAACTACGGCTATTCATGAACCCCAACCCCGCAGAACACCAACAACAAACGACTCAAGACCTTCTGAGGATCCTTTGGAATCGCTAAGATACCACCAACTTGTTCCTGCACTTATAACGTTTGGACAGAAGCCCGAAACCTCAATGTTTTCCCACTTTCGTAGTCTCAAGGGGCATCAGGTGCTGCGGGGCATCGGGGAGCAGCGCCAGGGCCATTTGGATCGTCCCAGGCAGGTGGTGGATCTGACTAAGGCCTAACTCCACCAACAAGCCACAGAAATAGAAGGTTAAACTTTCCGACTCCTGCTAAACTATAAGAGCCCAAAAAGTTTCAAGGTTGGGTATTGGGGATCTAACAGACCACGACTAGGGCACGAGAGCTTCGAGGACCCTAGGACAGCGTGAGCAGTGCCGGCATTGTATGCCACGGTTTAGGGTTTAGGGTTTAGGGTTTTAGGGTTTAGGGTTTAGGGTTTAGGGTTTGAGCGAACTATCGAATTGCCGAACAACTCGTCTCTATACAGGCCTGTGCCATGTGGACCTCGCATGATCGTTGAAAAACTCCAGGTGCAGGTTTAGGGTTTAGGGCTCATAGGGTTTCTAGGGTTGAGGGCTTATAGGCTTTATAGGTGTAGGGTTTTGGGTTAAACGGTTTAGGGTACAGGTTACCTCGGGCAACCGCTGTGCCCATTGTACTCTACACTTCGGGCTGCAAGCATGTGTGTAGCAGCTTCTTTACGGTCTGTGGGAACCTATCTATGCATCTGCCTGTCTATCTGTCTATCTATCTATATGTATATACCTAACACCTACATAGACATAGGTCATACGCATACATCTCTCTCTCTATATATATATATATATATATATGCGCATACATATATATATATATATATATATATTTATATTTATTTATTTATACACACACAATCCTTTCCCCGTCCACCCTCCTGCAAAGCCGAGGAAACCGCTCAAGAACTGTTGAAAGGTTGGTGCGGCTGCTGGTAAGCAAAAGCGATTAGAACAAAAAAAGTATTGATGTATACTACTACTGAGTGTAATACTATTGGTCATAGTACTTGCACTAACTGACACTAGTAACAGCAATAACTGGCAATACTAACAATAGTGACAGCAAGACATAAAAATAACACAACAATGTGCGAATCTCGATTAAGAGGATGCTTCTAGGGATCCTGTAGGTTGCTGATGTGATGTAGCTGAAGTACATGAGATAGATGCCATGCTGACCCGAAAGCACTTAGCAGGACTCCCAGCTGCCAAGCTATGTGTAAGTTGCTTCATTCCTTGTTGAACGCACTCTCTCTGAGGCAAAGGCAACCTCATTCCCAAGCAGAATGTGCTCTAAACCCTAAACCCCTACAGTAGAAGCCCAAAAGTTGGAAACCCAATAGCCTCAATCCTTAAGAGTCATGTATAAGGGATCCCAGCACTAATTGTCCTTAATCCGGTTTCCAACTTTTTGAGGTTTACTGTAAGCTGCGGAAAGAGCACGTCGGGCCATGGGGATAAACATTGCAAACCATAGGAACCCCAACGGTCTACCTGCCCACATAATTAGTATATGCCTTCCCTGATTATAAAGGTACTCTGAGGCAAAGTATAGTATACTGTTTGGGTACATGGACCCTAAGGGGAAGCAGCAAGCCCTTTGATTCATTGACATGAGCTGACTTTTTGCGCGGCCTCGGGACCTACGTTTCGGCCGTGCATCAGGTGGCAGCGGCCCAGCCTACTGAGTCCAAGTATCGTGTTTGGCAATACTACTATACGACCAGTAGCACCATCATGAATCTAGGGTTTCGGGTCTAATTAGGGTTTAGGGGTTTTCATGAGAGACCTGCAGTGATGCTAGTGCCAGCTGTAATCTTACGATGCTGATTGGTATCTTGCATGCTCTCATAGTTAATAGTACTCATATTCGTGGTGCTTTGTCCAGCAACTGGTGACGGTGGAGTCGGAGCTTTGAGGCGCGGATTTCAAGACGAGGTCTTGTACTTCCAAGTTTCAGGGCTTGGGGACATGGGGACATGGAAGCGTTATTTCTCGCGGATTGCAACCGTTGCGGATTTTCTGCTCTTCACACCCGACATGTTCGGTGCCGCCGTGGGCATCTATACCATGTGGACATTGCCAAAAGACTGGCCCAATAACAGCCAAGCGAGCTTTACACAACATGCAATCGGATACTTGGACCGTGGGAAATTCTCATGCACGAGAAGGCTACTTCTCACAGCGAAACCATCTCCAACGGGAACCTCATCTATGGAAACCTATAGGAACTCCAGATTATATTCCTCTTTACTAATTAAGAGTCTGCACAACAACTTCCATCGCATTTCTTTGTTTATGCTTTAGAAGCCTTGCGGATTCTTGAACGAAGTCGTAACATACTGGAGCCCCAAGTAGTTCTGGGTGGTGACCCGCGCCGTCTGTGGGCAGCCAATGCCCGTCCGATGTAAGTTGAAGTCTGTGGCCCTGTTCATGCTTAATTATCAAAGGGAAAAGGAAGGACCCTTAATGGGGACCCCTACCCCATAATGGGGCTATATAATGGGTATATACTAGCTATATTAAGGGTATATACCTAGGGGTCCTTATTAAGGGTCCCTCCTTTTACCCTTGGATGCTCTACAACCAAGTTCGCACTAGGGTCTTCCAGACTCAGAGGCGTCTGTGGGGCTACATGTTGTTACAACCGAAAGGAATCGGAACAGGACCAGTTGCTTGAAGATTTCAGGTCTCAAGTTGGCATTCGTTGTGTTGGCATGGTCATGTTTCGGGCTAGGGCTTTGGGCCATAACTCCAGTCTATGTGGACCATATCAAGGTCTTATTCCGCTCAGAACCCTAAACCTCCACCCTTATTCCTCATCCTAAGAAGTGAAGAGTTCGATGTAGTAAGCATACTCTAATCCCTAAACCTTAAACTGCCCTAAACCCTTAAACCTTAAACCCTGAGTAATTACCCCTATTCCTCTTGTTGGGAAAACTGAGCTGTCCCCCGAGGCTCAAAACAGCCCTAAAGCTACACATACGGTAGACGGTTGATGATATAAATCCTGCATTAACCGTAAGAAGGAATATACCATGATTCTCATTTTTTCTGGTCCTTGAGGTAATGAAGGCAAAACCTCAAACATGAGTCCTTAGAGCCTGACGGTTCGAGCACAGGGCACCCTAAACCCCTAAACCCCTAAACCCTAAACCCTAAACCCCTGAACCCCAAACCCTAGCTTTGGGAAGTAGCCGCGATATTGACAACGGCGGTGGGCACGCGCTCTTCGCCTTTCAGCCTTCGCGCACAAGGCTTTTCTCTTCTTTTGTTTATGTGTGGTAGGGTATAGACTTTAGGAGGGTTTAGAGGCTTAGGGGAAATTACAGGGTTTATGAGTGTTTAGGGTTTAGGGGTTTAGGGTTTATGACGGTTTGCGAGGTTAAGGGCTGAGGGGTTCAGGGTTTACAGGGCTCGCAACTCTGCCTCATGAAATGTCAAAGAAAAGTTCGATCTTTTCTGTGATCTGCGCATTTCTCCTGCCCACCTAAACCCTAAACCCTAAACCCCTAAACCCCTAAACCCTGAAACCCTAAACCCTAAACCCCTAAACGCCTAAACCCCTAAACCCTATTGTCTGAGCTTAAGGTAAGGCCCCAGGGCCTGGAGAGGTCTAGGCCTGAGGGTTTCGAGCTCCGGGTTGAGGGTTTATGGTTTTGTCGGCCTTCCCCAAGGATGCGTTCAACCTCATGGTATTAGTATTAGTACTACTAGTTTTAGTATTACTAATTCTAATACGAATACGAATATTACTAGAAATACTACTACTAATACTATTAATTACTGTCGTAGATGCCTGATGTAGACCCCGTGTGTGACGCAAGACACCATACATCAGATCCAAGGAAACAGGATGAGGAATTTCCATCTCTCCTAGAGCCACAGAGCCCAATTGCTATTGACTTTCCAAGGAGCACAATCCAAGCCTGAATGGCTAGTATCGATACTTCATTGCAGTTCTGCCTTTGTCGTATAATGTTCCCCCAAAAGCTATTCTGAATCTCCCCCTATACCCAAAGGGGTTCAAGTAAAAGTATCGTAGAAACTTCTGCGGCCCAAATACATCCCTACACCCTAAACCCTATTATACCGGTACTTGGACCATTTGGGATGGTATGGCATAAGGGCCGGCAGTCCTTCGCTTAGAGATTTCGCGGCTCTGAAGAAGGTCACACCAACAAGTTGTATATCCTAGAATCATCGAAACACGTCCATCTTTGAGTGGTTTAGTAGAGGAGTCCTGGCATACTGTTCAGGGTGCAGGATTGGGATTCAATCTTGGCTCTCCGATAGGATCGTATGACTCCCTACTCCCGCCCGATGTCAGCAAGCGCCTACTTTATGCTCTAAACCAGGTGTTTTCGCAGCCTGTGAACATCTCGGAGATGAACTTGGAGAACCTCAATGTTGAATAGTGTCAGCAGCCCTTGTGAAAAGCCTTAAACCCTAAGGGGCCAAGTACCCAACAACAATGATACGCTCTCCCAAATACTATCCTAAATAACTACCATCCGTAACCAAAGTACCGGAAAAATGGGTCCTTTGGACCCTTTGGGAAGCCTTAAAGATCCCTCTTACAGTAGCCCTTGCGGCACTTAGCCACGTAGCGGACGCATATGGCGCCGTGTTACTTTCCTGCGTTTCCTGCATGTTCAAGACGTTTCGGATGATTCCATGGGGTTGGGGTGAGTGCGAGCATGCCCAAACCTCTGGTCTCTACGGCGGTTTGCCAATTGGCACAAGGTACTGCAGAAGGATGTTTGACATTTTTGGCGTAAGACTCCCTGTCACAAGCGTTGATGTATGGTGCGAGCATGCCCAAAACACGGGTATCTACTGCGCTTGGGCCTCTTCACATATCATACAGCTAAGTGAAACCTCGTTCAACTTACACTAGTCTCCAGCCGGTGCTGCATCTCTGCTTTGCTCTGGAGAACGTGCCAAAAACCCACCTTGCTACACTGTTAAGAACAGCAGTGACTTCACAGACAACATAAACGTGAACCATTAGCCTCATAAGCAAGCAGCGTGACATAGGCCATTAACCTCATAAGCAAACAACTGCAAATGTCAAAACAGGAATATGCACGCAACATAATCTAAACAAGCCCGATACGAGCCCCAAAGTCCTGCTATTTGGGTTCTTGAGTTGGGGTCCGCAACCACTCAGAATGACAGACCATTGACATCGTAACATCCCCTAGAACACCGTCAAGTTGACCATAGTTTCTCAGCCCAAATCTTCAACCCTATGCTTCGTATCCGCAAACCCCTCCTTAAGGACGATAGGAGCCCTAAAAGGGTTTATGGTTCATGTACCATATTAGGGGTGCATACTACAAGGGTGTAGAGCCCTTGCTTTTAAGTGCCTTGGTCCTTAAGACTAAGGCCGAAAACCCAACCAACACATCACTCCCTTTACCCTTTATGCACCTTAGACGGAACCCTTACAATCCCCGAGCTTACACCTCCAGAACCCCCAGCTCCCGACCCTCCCCCAAAAAGAAACTCTTTAAGGAAACATCCCGGACTCTCAGCCCAGGCCCCTTACTCCTTTATTTAAAACCCAGCTCCCGGACCACCCCTCCAAGAAGACTCTTTAAAAGACATGAACCCCAGATCCTGTAAACCCTCAACACGAAACCCTACACTCCTAAACCATAAATCCCTAAACTCAAATTCCTAAACTACCCTTAAATCCTAAATCCTAAACGCAGATCCCTGATGCCTAACCCTAAGGGTCCAAGTAGTGGCACCCTAGACCCTACAGCTGAAGGAACCCCACCCGACACCCCAGAAACCAGGGCTTCGGCTCCACAGGAGGTGGCAGCTGATCCTCGGGACCTCCTTCCAGCGGCTCCTGCAGGGAACTGGGTCGCCCTACCAGGAGGGTCGGGGGAATTCTATCTACACTTCTAAGTACCATAATCTTACCTTTGGTTCGTAGGGAATGGAGGAATGGGGTACAATTATAACCCCAGTCTGAACGGTTCAGTGGTGCTGACCAAGGAGAACAGGTGCGGACCCGGGTTCTCTCTTTTTCTAGATTCAGGGGCCCTTGTGTTTCTCTTCAGGCATCCAATTGGAAACTCTGTGATTTCCAGTCCGGTCGGGCTTGCGGGTTGCCTGTTAGGCTCCTTGCTGCGCATGGGTCAATCCGGCGGCCTTGGCCTTACTGCCCTGTCAGGCTCTTCATCTGCGGCGAAGCCGGCAGTCATTTTCACACAGCCGGGACACCTGATGTCCTAAAAGAATCCAGGATACATAAAAACCCACGAAGAACAGACCGGGGCCAGCATAAGCCCAGCCCCTGGAGCCAGCCTGAGAACTTGGTACAGAGCGTGGACGAAACCACGACCAGAGGTGAAATCCATGAAAACATCATCGTAGATGATGTCGAAAGCCAAATGCTTTGCGACCCGCCTGTACCATTCTTCCATTCCCTACTAACCATGAAGGTAAGTAATAGGGGTTCGAAACACCCGCGAACGGGCGAGTCGGGTCTGTGGGATTAAGCCCCCAATCCTGACTTCATTCATTCCCTGGACCCCAAGAGTATGTAGAATAATAGCAATTTATAGGTTTTGTGCCATTATTTTACCTACTTTGTGGGGTTGAAGTCTAATTTTTTTAAGTGCAGTGACCTTTTTCCTTGTGCAAGGAAGTCGGCCTACCCCGTCTCAGGGTATACACTACCATTCTGGGCTTATAGAGCCGTACTTGGAGGATCATGGGACTTAGTAAGTAGGGTTATAAGTACCCTAATTGGGGTTATAAGTAATTATAAGTATAGTTACCCTAATTATAACCCTAGTTACTAAGTCCCATGACCCTTTAAGTAGGCTTTCGGACTGAAAGCTCTAATGTCAGAAAGGGCTGCATAGAGGAGCCTTAGCAGTTCGGACTTTTGGTGGTATCTTCTCGGATAGCCTTTACATTGAGGGCTACCAGGGCGTTCTGACTCTGAACCCTGAAACCAGACTACAAGGTCAACCTATTGCTGCTTCTTCAGACCTCTACATTGGACCAAAAAGCAAGCCTACTTGGATTGGAGGGTCGGGGGACTTAGTAAGTAGCTAGTTTCTAGCCTTTTGTCTCATATTAAGATCAGTTGTAAGTACAGTGCTTCTAAGTTTGCTTGTTACCTACTTACGAAGTCCCCCGACCCTCCAAGTAGCTCCTTGACCCACCAGAGGCCTCACAGATCCTCCAGTACTCGGCTGTTTGCCCTGAGGCTCAAAAACCAGCTCCAAAAGCCTGAGATACTATGGGGGCCCTGCCCTAAGGCTCCTAAGAGGGTCTTGGTCTTGGGCTTTCTGGTTGAGGGTTTCGGCTTTGGGGGCTAGGGTCCGGGATCTCGCTACAAGGGTCCAGGAGCCCTAAGGTAATAATTACGTTAGGGTTGTATACGATAACTGTAATAAGGAACCCCGGGAATTAACAAAGTGGTCATTTTTTAAGCCCTACATTAGCGTGGTCTTTGGGCTCAGCAGCCTTATGAGCCCTGAAAGCCTTAGGGTTTCAGCCTGTCATAAGACACAAATTGGCAGAAATTTAGGATTCAGGGTCGAAACCTACAAACTCTTGTAGATTATGATAAGCCCTTGGCAACTCCAACAAAGCCGCTCACCAAGCACAATGAGAAGTAATGAAACCCTGAGCCCTCAAACCCTGTAAACCTGAAGACGGAAGCCTCAACCCCTACACCCCGAAATCCTAACGCCGTAAACCCTTAGGCGTCCCCAAAGCCTAACCCCCTAGGGTTTTGGGGTTATATTATACTATAACTATGATAAGGAAACCCCCAGACCCTATTCTATTTATTAATAAAGGCCCCTACTTGGAGGGTCGGGGGACTTAGCAAGTAAGTAGTAAGTAGACTTATAAGTACCCTAAAATGGACCCTAATTTGCATTATGGTACTTGTAAGTCTCCAAAATAACTAGTTACTAAGTCCCCCGACCCTCCAAGTATGTTACCTCAGGGACCCTTTGCGCTCTGAGAAGCCTCCGGCTGTGTGAGGAGACGCCCGTTGTCGATGCGGCAGTGGAGCCTGTCCGCATGTCGCCCTAAGCCTTACCTGGACCCCCAAAAGGCCTACCGTTTTGGGATATGTATATATATATATATATATATATTTTTTTTTTAATATACACATCATGATAAAGAACCCCTAGCAAGCAGGTTCTTTTCGGGCTCAGGTAGACTGACATTAAAACAAAAACACACCCAAAACACCTCAAACCCTGGACAAGCAAGCTGGCTGGTTCTGCTATAGGCGGCACGGGCGGAGACTGAAGAGAGACGATGAGATTCTCGTCGTACATCCAAAGTCAGCGCAGCTGGCTCGGGGAAACTCAATTTCCCTAAACCCTAAACCCTGAGCCTAAACCGTGCAGTGTCGATGAGGCCACTGGCTATCTGCGAGACCACAGTGGAGCTAGCGTCAAGCACCACCCCGGCCGCAAACCTGCTGGCTACTTGGAGGGTCGGGGGACTTAGTAACTAGCTATTTTTGAGACTCATAAGTACCGTAACCCCAATTACAATCCCTTTTAGAGTACCTATAACTCTACTTATTAGCCACTTACTAAGTCCCCCGACCCTCCAAGTATAGTAACGATATCCCCACACTGAACCCGTCAACGTCAAGCCTCAAACAGAGAGACTGAAGCAGACAACTGGGGTTTAGGGTTTAGGGTGAAGCAAGTATAAGCACATCATACAAAGAAGCCTGCATGATACATAGGTTTCTGAAGGTGCAAGCAGCGCTTGGGTCCCAGCAACCTTGAAGGATCCCTTAAAGAATGCCTCGCAGGAACTCTAAAAGGAACCCTTAAGGAATCCCTTAAAAGATCCCCTAAACGAACCCTGAAAGGATCCCTTAAAGGAATCCCTTATAAAGGATCCCCTAAAGGATCCCCTAAACGAACCCTTAAAGGAATCCCTCTAAGGATCCACTATAGGATCCCCTAAACGAACCCTTAAAGGATACCTTCAAGGATTCCCTGAAGGAGCCCTTCTGAAGCACCTCTTTCCCAGCTCACCCAGCTGGTAGCGACCAGGACCCAGTCGGACGAGCCTAGGGCGGCCCCACACCAACAAGGGGCACGCGCAGAGATGGGTTGGGATAATAATTTAGGGCTTTAGGGTTTAGGGCTTTAGGGTCTAGGGCTTTAGGGCTTTAGGGTTTAGGGCTTTAGGGTTTAGGGCTTCAGGGTTTAGGGCTTTAGGGTCTAGGGCTTTAGGGCTTTAGGGTTTAGGGCTTCAGGGTTTAGGGCTTTAGGGTTTAAGGCTTTAGGGTTTAGGGCTTTAGGGTTTAGGGCTTTAGGGTTTAGGGCTTTAGGGTTTCAGGCTTTAGGGTTTAGGGCTTTATAGTTTAGGGCTGTAGGGTTTAGGGCTTTAGGGTTTAAGGCTTTAGGGTTTAGGGCTTTAGGGTTTAAGGCTTTAGGGTTTTGGGCTTTATAGTTTAGGGCTTTAAGGGTTTAAGGCTTTAGGGTTTAGGGCTTTAGGGTTTAAGGCTTTCGGGTTTAGGGCTTTATAGTTTAGGGCTTTAGGGTTTAGGGCTTTAGGGTTTAAGGCTTTAGGGTTTAGGGCTTTAGGGTTTAGGGCTTTAGGGTTTAGGGCTTTAGGGTTTCAGGCTTTAGGGTTTAGGGCTTTATAGTTTAGGGCTGTAGGGTTTAGGGCTTTAGGGTTTAAGGCTTTAGGGTTTAGGGCTTTAGGGTTTAAGGCTTTAAGGTTTTGGGCTTTATAGTTTAGGGCTTTAAGGGTTTAAGGCTTTAGGGTTTAGGGCTTTAGGGTTTAAGGCTTTCGGGTTTAGGGCTTTATAGTTTAGGGCTTTAGGGTTTAGGGCTTTAGGGTTTAAGGCTTTAGGGTTTAGGGCTTTAGGGTTTAGGGCTTTAGGGTTTAGGGCAGAGATGGGGGGATAATATGATATGGGAGTTTCCGAAAATAGGGGGTGCCTTATCTTGGAGACCTTATAATAAAGGATCCTACTACCTAGGGTACCAAATTAGGGTCCCCTAGTTCCGGAAACCCCCATATGTTACTTAAGAAGTTATACTTTCAGGTCGTTTAAAGTAAATCATGACGCTGTATAGTATCTCAGAACTAGGAGATTCCGCACTATTGCAGGTAGTGAACCTGAGCTGGAACTGGCTTCATTCCTGCGAACACGTTATTATTACTGATAATTGTTTTTTTATCAATCAATGAATATGCCGGCGGAAGGCGTTCGACTGGCCCTTGGACGACATACAAGCACAAGCCAACGAAGCGGATCCCGGGCTCATGTCGACTACGCTGTTGATTTGCAAGTCGACCAAGAACAGCCTGACCAGGGCTCCGAAATCTGCACATGCTGGAGCTGCGTAAACGGCCACCTCAACAACTTTGAAAGTCACCACGCCTCCACCATGCGATCGACTTGCTCTCGTGCCAGAATAAGGGAATCCCACTTCGGGACCACTTCTTCGGAGTCAAAGCCGCGACTTCGGCTGCGGCAATTATTCGCTGCTTGTCCTGCGCGTCTATCATCGGCAGCGACACCGGCCAAGAAACGCCTGTGTGTGTCGTGCAGTTCAGGGCCCTTGTGACGAGGATCCTCCTAGCTCCATCCAGCCTTGCAATCCCAGGATCCTAGCCAACGCGCCCAGCACCCAGTGTTACCCACCTTACGCTAAGGCTCCGAAGAGTGTCTTGGGCTTTGTGGGCGAGGGTTTGGGCTTTCGGGGCTAAGGTTTGAGATCTCACTACGAGGGTCCGGGAGCATTGGGATAAACCCGAACTCTTGACAGACAAGGAGTGTATCAAAAACCGGTGCCGTGTCAAGTCTTCCCTGGAAAGAGTGGTAAAAGGCTGCGTAAAACCCTGAAATCAACAGCTCCTGCCTGGTTTCCTCATCCGAAAACTGTTCTGATGATCCTGACTCGGTCGCGTTGCTGTGACTTCTCTGTCTCTGCTTGCGCAGCAGTGGAGCACTGATTACAAACCCTACGCCTTAACATTCAAACCCTAAGCCCGAAGGCCAAGCCACTACACCCGACCCGAGCTCTAGACCCTTCACCTTTCAGCCTTAAACCCAAACCCAAAAGCCTTAGACCCCAAACCTTTCATCTTCAAGAACCCAAGCCTTAAAGTTTCACATCATCCCTAGACCCAAGAGTAGCCGAGGAATAAAAAGGGTGCCCTTTTTGGTTTAAAGGGGGTTTTAAAAGAACCGAAACCTTAAAAAAGGGAATAAGGGCCTACTCTGGGTCCTAGTTTCACATCATCCGCTGAGAACCAGGCTGGCCGGCTGTAGGACAGTCCAGTCTGTAGGGACACGGTGTGGGGTTTGGGGTTTAGGGTTAGACTCAGAGCTAAAAAGTTCGGGTGGGGTTTTAAACGAGTTTTATGACGAGTTGTGGGGATATATATATATATATATATATATATATATCGAGGCCTCTAGAGCTAAAATAGGGTTTGGGTGGTAATTTATACTAGTACGATTACTTCTTGGGGCTATGTTGGAATACGATTCATATTTGGTTGAGGCGACCCAACAGTGTTTGGAGGTTCATGGCTTGAAGCGTTGACCCCAAAGACCTTTTTATTGTAGGGGTCGCGAAGGATTTCATAAGGGCACGAGTCCAGGGACAAAAAAGTCAGGAGCCGGTACGATATTTCAGCTAATCGGCATTTTCAGGCTAGCAGTTTGTGAGGGGCAAAGTCTCGGCAAAGTTTGGTAGAGCTGGGTTAAGGGTTTAAAAGAGGCTGCGTTCTTGGATGTTTGGACTTGTCGTAAGGGGAAGGTCCTGCGCAACTTTGGTGTGTGTGTGTGTCCTCCTGTATAAGGAGCAGACGTCATGCACTCACTGTCGCACAAACCCTAAACCTCAAACCGGTCCCAGTTTGGGGAGGCGGGGGTCGGATCAGAAATATGCCTGCTATCCTATGTATACACCTTGGTGCCAGACCCAAAATGAGAATACCACTGTTCAGTAGAATGCTGACAAAGACACCGCGTTGATGTCCCTGCTGCGGGTCAATGTCCATGATAAACATGGTGAAGCCGCGTGTCTCTAACACGTCTCGTATGCAATGGGGACCATTGCTCATCATCTGCTGTCCCAATTCCGCCCTTGCGGTTTTGGTCGCGGTCGGAAGGTTTCCGCTGACATTGAGACCAAGCCGCCGGGGCATCGACCTCATCATAAATGCGGTTGCACGCTATTCGGTCGGGTGCCAACCGAGGCTGTTTGGTTGGCCACTTGAAAACAGCTTAAACTTTTGGGGATTAGTCAAAGTATAGTAGGAACCCAAGAACAAACAAGTATAAAAGTCTATCACTGGAACACCTAGTTCAATAACCCCTTGGGCATATAGTCCAAGCAAGAATACCTGGGTTGGCCTTTAAACACCCTGAAAAATATTCATATATAGGGTCTCCTATAAACCCAAATAAGGAAAATTAAAAATGTCCCACAATCCTACCTAGATACTGTTTTTCTCATAAGCCCGGTAAAGTTTGACCGTAACAGCGAAAGTTCTGCAGACTTAGACAGGGAGGCAACCCCGCAGGAACAGTGGGGCCTTGCGAAATGATGGAACGGCAGGATTGGGAGATGTAGTGAAGAGCCCTTGACATTGACAAAGACTGATAAGTTGACCAGTTTAGATGGTTTAGGGATTAGGAGTTTAGGCGTTTAGGGTTCAGGGTTTCGTGAGACATGGCACCGCTTTTCAGACGACAATGAACACGAACCTGGCAGTAATAAGGGTGCATGTATCTCCGCCGAAGATCGGCAGTAATCTGTCCGTCTTTCCCACGGATAGATACAGGTATTTGAGTATGGCTGTGCGTTACGACTATGCTGAAACTTCCGGAAGCGGCTTAGGTATTTAGCTGCCAGCTGCAGTTGGGTTCATAACAATCAGAGTTAAGGGTTTAGGGTGGGCCTTACCCGAGTCTGAAGCGGCCCTCTTACCCAAACGTCGAAAGTGACCTAGTAGCGAAGGGTGTTGGGCCCAAAAAGCCTTAACATGTGAGTTTAGGGCCTCAAACTAAGGGTGGGGCTTAATGCATGTCTTATCGGTGTTCCACTGGCTATGACTCAAGACGATTTGCACTTCTGAGGAACATCCGTACAACCTGAATCAACCTAATATCGCAAGCCCTGGTAAAGCCTTTCTTTGCTAATTAGAACCCAGAGACACCGAACATTAAACGCCTACCTGAAGCCAGAACCCTAACTTAACCCTAAACCCTAACCCTATCTTACTTAAACCGAGACCCTTCAGGTTGAAAGGACCCCAAAGACCTAAACAGACCGCAAGCCATACCCTTCCAGGACGCTTGTAGGATCCTCTGATGGACCTTATATTCGGACCCAATAGGGGCCTTTCTACGATTGATGATAGAAACCCTGCATGACCCATAATAAGGAATCTACCATAATTCCCATAGTTTACGGTCATTAAGGTAATGCAGGATTTATACCATCAACCGTAGAACTCTCTAAAACCCTAAAAGCAGCCCTGAACCCTTAAAGGAGCCCTTGAAGGAATCCTAACGGTCCCCTAAGCCCCAAAAAGGAGCCCTAAAACCCCAAACTCTAAACCCCCAACCCTTAGAAGGGGCCCCCACCCTGTAATAGTGACTATAAGGATTATATAGGATTATACTAGGGCCCTATTATATTCCTAGTCTACCACTATTACAGGGTGGGGGCAGCTTCTAAACCCTCAACCCTTAAAGGAGCCTGTACTTGGAGGGTCGGGGGACTTAGTAAGTAGGTAGTAAGTAGACTTATAAGTACCCTAAAAGGGATCCTAACTGGGGTTATGGTACTTATAAGTCTCCAAAATAAACCCTAAACCCCAAACCCTAAACCCTAAACCCTAGTTACTAAGCCCTCAACCCTTAAAGGAGCCTAAAAGGGCCATCCCAAAGCAAGCCTCAAAAGGGTGGCCGCTACGAGGCAGTCCACAGAATCGGAGATCACTGGCCTGGCTTTGCATGGTTTAGGGTTTACGGTTCAGGGGTTTAGGGTTTAGGGTCTATGAGGGTCGGAGGACTTAGTAACTAGTTATTTTAGAGACTTATAAGTACCATAACCCCAATTAGGATCCCATTTAGGGTACTTACAAGTCTACTTATTAACCACTTACTAAGTCCCCCGACCCTCCAAGTAGGGTTTAGGGTTTGGGGTTTAGGGGTTTAGGGGTTTAGGGGTTTAGGGTTTAGGATTTAGGGGTTTAGGGTTTAGAGCTTAGGCCCTAAGGCTCCGAAAGGGGTCACGGGCTGTCTGGGGGAGGGGTTCGGGCATTGGGGGCTAAGGTTTGGGATCTGACTACGAGGCCAGGAGCCTTAGGGTAGGGTTTAGTGTCACACGGTTTTAGGGTCTTGCTTGCTTTTTTGGCCAGTACGAGGTTTACAGAGTTTTGCGTCCGCGCTTGAAGATAAGTTAGGACGTTCGCGGGTGGAGGGTTTGGGGTTGAAGCCTGTCAGGAACGTGTTGGGAGTTTGAGGGCTTCGTGGTCCAGATGGAGTGTAGCATTCCAGAGCGCCTAGCCCTTTGCGGTTTCCACTTGCTTGCCTGACTCATAACCCTGCCTCAGGCTTCCATGAACCTCCAAGTGGTTTGGGATGGCTGTTCTGCCTTCTGTTTGTTTGTAAATCCGGGTCAGTTCGGGGATGCCTTCTTATACAAGCGGTGCGTTCTTGTAACCCCACAGCTATTTAGACAACTACTCATATAGCTCTCATGGAACTTGTATATAGATCGGATTTTATCCTCATCAAAACCCCAACAGCCTTGTGAAACACCAGGGCTCCCCCAAAACAGGAAATCCAAATCCCTGTCAGCATGAAACCGCCTTCAAAATCCAAGCCCCCTCCTCTATGGCTCTGGCAGAGAGTCCTCGAGTTTGAAATCTGACACTCTCATCCTGGATAGCCCTATTCCTAAACCCTAAACCCTAAACCCATAAAACCCTAAAACCCCAAACCCTAGGGTTTAGGGTTGAGGGTTTAGGGTTTTGCAAGCGTTGGCTACTTCGACACAAGCAGATCCCCAAACCCTAACTGAAGCCCCAACCTCCTGTTAAACCCGACACCCCACGCCCTCAATCCTGAAAAACTAAACGCCAGACCCCAATATGGGCAGCGGCCATACTAATGAGCATAGGGTTTGGGGGGCCATTATACCATATTAATAAAACCTCCAAAACAGTATAGGTAAGTATTAGGCCCCCTATACTACACGGTTGCTCCGGAACCTACATGGGTGGTTGACAAAATTAGGGTCCCTTTTTGGGTCCCTAGAAAAAATACGGCACCTAATATTTAGGGTTCCTAAAAAGGGACCATAATTTTGACAACCACCCACATGCACAAAGAGACTCCCAACAAGCGATTTGCCTGTAGAAGGAGCCACCCAGGCCGTTGCTCTTCGAAGCACTTTGTCCGTCCTCTTGGAGGGTCGGAGGACTCAGTAAGTAGGCAGTAAGTAAACTTTCAAGTGCCCTAAAAGGGCCCCTGATTTGGGTTA